AGATCTCATCAATAAAGATGCACTTGAAACTACAGCTAATGGAAAGTTCAGCATAACTAGCTGTTCCTTCTTTTCACTGCGTAGGATGCTTGAAGCTCAACACAAAGGCCTTCAAGGTAAAAATAAGATAATAGCTGCTATTAAATTCTAATATGGAAGGAATGTGACAAATGTGTTCAATCCCTGCACTTCTGCTAATTACAGCAATGACAAAGAGCAGCCATTCCAGTAAGAGAGAGAGAGAGAGAGAGAGAGAGAGAGAGAGAGAGAGAATAAAACAAAGAAAAGTTGTGTTGGAATAAAACCGATTAAACTCCAGCCTGTTGCACTGCCACAGTTCAGCGCTTATGAACTTTGCTACCTGGCATTAGTTCAGAGGTGCATGACTATAGAGAGGGAAGAAAAAGATAAAGACGTGGAGAGGTGGAGGAGGCATGCGGTGTTGCTGCTCTCTTCTCTGGTAAATCAGACATCTTGGTGTTTGAAATATGCCTGAAATGCACGGTAATTACAAGATAAATGCCAAGCCTACCACACATCAGCATTCTGAATAGCTCTGTTATGAGCTAAAATGACACTGGTTTTAAGCAAGACACATCAGCGACATGATGCAACAAAGCGGAGGAAACTCTTAGAAACCAAACCTCGAACCGACAGTGAACACAGCTTGCAGTGTGGTTGATAAATTGCAATATTATGAAATATTGAACTTATTATTTTGTTAGATTCACCCCCAAATGCACGCCATGCCAGAGTTTGGTTTACTGCCATTAGAAAGTGGTGCAACTTTTGCTGGACAAACAGAGTGGCATTTTCAGTAGATTATCCATAATGTACCTAACTGGGTGCCTTCTAATGTCAGATGTCTCATTGTCCTACAGTCGGGTTTTTTTCATGTTCGATCACTCAGAGACGCTGAAGCAATCCGTCACATTCTCCAGGAGTTCCTCTGAGGTTTGGATCACGCTGCTTCCTCTTTATGAGTTACACTAGTTCATGCAGACAGCTCTCTCATTTAATGAATTACAAGAGGGTCACATGATCATGAGTGCTAGAAGAACGAAGGGACATGAAATGCCGAGATATTTAGGGGCGTTAAGCACTAGGCAAACACTACTTTCACTACTTTTGCCACCTTATCACTTCATATGACAAGCATATTACCAATCTTTTTCCTTATCATGGAAGTTCCCCATTCATTCAGAACTATGTTTTAATTTTTTGGTTAAAACTGTATTTTTCTTTGATTTTAATCAACTGACTGAACTGACAGTGTGTATGGAAATAAAATAATGACAAATGCTTGTTGAAAAATGCACATATGTGACCCTGGGCCACAAAATCAGTCATAAGGGTAAATTTTTTAAAATTGAGATTTATACATCATCTGAAAGCTGGATAAATAAGCTTTCCATTGATGTATGATATGTTAGGCCGGTATTGTTGGCTATTGCTACAAATATACCCCAGCGACTTAAGACTGCTTTTGTGCTCCAGGGTCACATATTATTATAGGTTTTATTTTTAAACAGACCAAATATTTTGGAAGTTAACTCTGGAAGGTGAATATGGAAATTTTTTAAATTAAATTAAATTATTTTTTTTTAAATAATGAAAATGTGTGTGAAATGTTTTGAATTGAAATATTCACAGCTTAAATATATAACCATGTTGAATTTCTGTCCCTAAAAATGCAAGCCCTGATAATACAACGCATACTGCTAATGCAATGTTTTTTTTTTCAGTTAGAGCAATTCAACATGCTTTGTTTCAGATATATTTGTCATTATTTTACTTCCATAACTGTATTTATATATTTGCATAGAATAAGTGGAAAGCCCTTCAATGAAAGCTACTAGTAAAGCATTTCAAGGGTGCTTTTGTTTAAAAGGATTTGGTTCCACAGGATAATTTCACAATTTTTTTATAAGAATGTATTATAATTAATAATAAATAAAAATGTTTTATTAAATATTCATCTTTATTTTTCTTTCATTTATTTGCAGTGAGATGGTATTACAAATAGTAATAGATTTCTTAGAAGAAATAACAATAATAGCCTAATATTAGTTTTAATATATAATCCCCCCTCAGAGCTATCAGGCCTGAAGAATCTTAGACAGCTTCAGTTGATCAGAAAAGATTTTGACTTACATCAAAAGTAAATGAACTTAAATACCGTTCAAATGTTACGCCTATTAGGGATTGTTCACCCAAAAATGAACATTTTGTCATCATTAACTCACCTTCAAGTCGTGCTGGTAGCCACTGATTTCCATAGTATGGAAAAAAATACTGTGGAAGTCAATGGCTACCAGCAGCTTGTTTTGGTTACAAACATTGTTCAAAATAACTTCTTTTGAAGAAAGAAACTTATACAGGCTTGGAGCTGTAATGATGTGGCTGCTAGCCAACACGCACAGCGACGGAGATAGTATTCTAAAATACACAGGAGATTGCGAGGGAAATTAATGCAAAACACGTGTTAACAACGACTGACAGATACAAATGAAAACACAGGGCTATACATATATAAGTGACTATACGAAAACACAGGTGATAATCATTGGTTACTACTAGGGCTGCATGATAAATCGAAATGGAATCGAGATCGCGATTCGACAGAAGCTGCGATTGTCATGCGTATCTTTCAGTGAAGCACGGTTCTGTGATCAGCAGTAAATCTTCATCCGAAGGCCAGAGGGCGCTCTCGCGCTGAAACTCCAAATACGCCTCGCAGAAGAAACCCAGAAAATGCCTATCGCTGCAGCTGAATAAACAGAAGATTCAACTACTTTCATTGATTCAACGTGACTAATAAACACACGACTACTGCAATATACGGTTTATCGGAGTTCTTATTATTATCATTTTCATTAAAATAAAGTATATATATATAATGCAATGCCTTTATCACTGCTTAAATACTATGAAATACAAAACGCGCATGACAATTGCATTCGATTAATCGTGCAGCCCTAGTTACTACAGAAACAAATAGGCACATAATCAGAAACGAAGAAAACCGAAACAGAGAGGACAAACCGGGACAACTGGACTCAGAACAGAGTATCAAAATAAAAGTCAACAGAACGGAACATAATCCAAACAGTAATGACACTAATGACAAAATGTTGATTTTTTGGGTGAACTGTCCCTTTAAGGTGTGGTCAGATAGATTTACTGCTTAAATATGGCTTATTCCGCCACAATCTGCACAACGTTAAACAGTTTGTTCACTGACAACAAGAGACTCCAAGAAACATCCAGTGGTTTTTCCAAAAACAATATTTTGACTTCATTCACTCATTGCGCACATCATGTTGTTCTAAACCTGTATGACTTTCGTTGTTTCATGAAACACAAAAGGAACAAAAAACATTATTTACTGATGATCATTTTCCCTTTTAATGTAGATCTCATATTAAACATTTATTTTATGTCAAGTTTTTTCTTTTTTATCATTTTGGAGCACGATCGTCATAGTTCGCCATTCATTTTCATTATATAGAAAAGACTGGCTGACAAAGTCTTTAACATTTCTCCTTCTGTGCTCCACACTCATACAAATCTAAATGAGGATCATTTCATTTTCAAAAGAACTATTCATTTTGACAAGACTTGTTTTAATGTAAAGTCACATTAAAAGTTTTTAAATGATTAGTATTATTATTATTTTTACTCAGAACATCAATGTCAAAAGCTGCTGTTCAAGATGCATTTAACAGATAAACAAGTTAGTGACAGTGAGTCTGGTTAAACCAGTTTGCATTGAGGATGTACTGAACGTTAAAGTAACACCCAAACAATAAATGGATTGTCTCCATGCAAAAGGTCATTGCTGAATGTTACATAGCGTGCAAATGATCCTGACCTCGTCAACAGACATTCCTTAAGTGATATTTTACAGCATGCAAGCATACTTGCACCTGTAACAGATACAGGTGTTTTTAACGACAATGCAAGCAAGGGAGGCGTCTTTGTTGTTGCTGCTAAAGAGCAGTAAATCTCGCTCATCATGCATTCTGGGAATCTGGAAGGTGTGTCTACCACAAGAGCGAGACGAGGCTGCATTGTGTGTTGCAGGTTTTTCAGTAGGTGCAGTTGCATTTGTGTTTATGTGCGTCTTGCATGCAACACAACTCCTCCAGAGAACACGGGGAGGCAGTTTTCAACACAAGACTGATAGAGTTTCAGCGACTGGACAAAACACCAGTGTCTGGTTTCCTGCGAACAATGCGCAGCAAAGCTGTCACATTTTCACCCCTCTAAATTCATCTTGCATATTTAGTATAATTCTACTAAAGTGGACTGTGACCCATGTGACAGAAACAAAACAGAGAGTAATGCAACATGTTGTGAACAGACCCTGTGCCAAAATATATTGCAATCTCTCTTACTACCCAATTTTTACATAAACCTGCTGAAAAAAAAAAGTCAAACCTGGACTTAAATGGGTTAAATTAGTGTTTTTTCCCATTTTTTTTCTCCATAGAGTATGAAAATCTGTTCTGCTTGATTACCTCTTTCCCTGGTGGGACAAAGTCTTCTGTACAAAAAAACCTATTGTTTAACAGCCTTACACTTAGCCCGTATTAAAAGTACATACATTTGAGTGAACATCTTCATACCATTATACAGTTCCTTTTAAAGTAAAACCATTCCACATAAGTGCTGTCTATACAGAGACATCAGTTAACATCCACCTGTTGCTGTGAGCCGTGGAGCGAAACTCTCGTATTATACCAGCACTTTTAAGAAACTCTTACCTGCACGCTTCTGTCAGGATGCGACTCATAACACCAGCTGTCGGGTTTACGCCATAAACTGAGAGTTATTATAAAGCATAACTCCGTGTGTCTTGAGGCAAAGTGAAGCTACTGCTGTGTCCAGAGCTGATCAGCGAGAGGGGGCGGGGCCACAAAGGGGCGGGGCGATTACAGGAAAAAGTTATTGAGCTGTCCATCAATGGCCCTCATATTTGTTTATGTAAAAGATTCCTTCTCGTCAATCTCTTGTTAATACTTTTAAATCTAAATTGATTTTATACTGCTTGCCAATGATTGTTTTGAGATCACTATAAAATGAGTACTACATACAGACATCGAGAACCGCTCAAAACAATGAAGTTCCTGTCACTAATGGCAGATCTTTCTTATAGTCAACTGCATTTCAACCTGACCAACACCACCATTTAAATGACAGAAAGCCATGTTCATATAGCACAGGAAATCTGAACATGACATCACAAAAAAAAAAAAACTTCAGTAACGAAGATGTGCATTTAATATATTCACATTCTATTTACAATTAATACAAATGTTAAATCGTCGTAAAAATGTACCCTAAAAGAGAATTTTTATGTACATCTGTACAGCTTAGTATTTAAATAGAAACATGCGAGTGTTATTTTTCAACTGGATGAAGAAAAAAAAAAAAACCAAGGTATCTCACCCTGGGTAAAGTTATGATCACAAAGAAAATTAAATATGGATTTAAATCAATCAGTCAGTCTGATCCTCTAAAGCATTACCATGAACTCTAGTAGAAAAGATAAAAACGAAAAAAAAAAAAAAAGGACAGCACAACAACATGTCTGGAGAAGCAAAAAGGCCATGGGAACAATCCATATTCATATGCAGTTACTTTATCATCACGAATCTGGTACAGGAATCACATTAGTGCATGAATTCATTTACATAAAAGCACAATTATCAGACCTCACCCCTAAAGCACAATGTATTTACTGACTCTCTAAATCAAAATGATGTATTCTGCAAGGTAGCACATCAGTGATATATCTAGTCGCCAGCCATTAAAGCCATCAGGTTTTAACTGATGAAAATTTCAATTGGCAGGAGTCCTCGTTAGCTACTGAACAAACGAGCAAGAAAAACATCTGCATAGACAGAAAAAAAAACAGTTTGGGAGCCAATTAGAGGAAAGATTCTAGTGCAAGAGATGTTACGTTTCCAGCATTGGATTGACTTTTCACTTGACCTTCCTCTTTCTGCTGCTAAACCGATCAAAGTTTCGATCTGATTTACTGCGTGTATAGATTACGGGTCGGTCTGCGCTAAAATCACTCTATGTACATACATAAACTGCTATTCTCAACAGAACACATAAATATATCCTCACATGACTGCGGTCTTTTAAAAGAACTGCAACACACAGGTGACTACGACACTATAAACGCAAACTCAAGACTCACATTAAATATTTAAATATGATATTTTCATATACAATAGAAATACGGCTCTCCTCTCGTATTGCAACCCTGTATCCATGCCCAAGAGTGAAAATGCAACCTGGAACGAAGCGATTTGCCGTTATCTAAATAAAATCTATATTAGGCTGAGCCAAGGTAATAGGTGGGACAAAGTCTTCTGTACAAAAAAACCTATTGTTTAACAGCCTTACACTTAGCCCGTATTAAAAGTACATACATTTGAGTGAACATCTTCATACCATTATACAGTTCCTTTTAAAGTAAAACCATTCCACATAAGTGCTGTCTATACAGAGACATCAGTTAACATCCACCTGTTGCTGTGAGCCGTGGAGCGAAACTCTCGTATTATACCAGCACTTTTAAGAAACTCTTACCTGCACGCTTCTGTCAGGATGCGACTCATAACACCAGCTGTCGGGTTTACGCCATAAACTGAGAGTTATTATAAAGCATAACTCCGTGTGTCTTGAGGCAAAGTGAAGCTACTGCTGTGTCCAGAGCTGATCAGCGAGAGGGGGCGGGGCCACAAAGGGGCGGGGCGATTACAGGAAAAAGTTATTGAGCTGTCCATCAATGGCCCTCATATTTGTTTATGTAAATGTTAATGCTGCATAACTGTACACATGTAATATGAATAGTAAGCCTAGAGTTAAAGTAACAGTTCACCCAAAAAAAATAAAAATAGGGCATCATTTACTCACCCTGAAGTTGTTTAAAAAGCAGTTTCTTTCTTCCGTTGAACACAAAAGAAGATATTTTTATTAACGTTGGGAATCAGACAGTTGACGGCCATTGACTTCCATAGTATTTTCTTCTATACTTGGAAATCAGTGGCTACCAGTAACTGTTCTGTTACCAACATTCAATAAATATTTGAATGCAGGCTGACTAAATGACAGTAATTTCATTTTTGGGTGAACTGTCCCTTTAAATGTTGTATGGCAACTGGAAAGGGAAAGAACGTGTCTGAGCGACGTTTAAAAATGAGAAACAGTGACCATGAAAATGTCAATTGTCAATATTTTGTGTTTGCATATCTGTATTTGCATCTTCAAATGCCACAAATGGGGGGGGCAACGTAAGCCTTGCTTATTAGAAGGTGTTAATGTAGTTCAATGGGCTCGAAGTGAACTGCAACTTGTTCTTTTTTGCAATCTGCTTTCAGTAGTGCTATGCATGACCCAGCTATGCAAGATCCAAATACCAAGCGGATTGTGATCATAACTATACTATCAGAGCTCAAGTTCTCCTAGAAGTCCAGATGAATGTACATTTTATAACTTTTTAACTTTATTTGTGGTAATGCATTTATGCTTTCACTAACCTAGAGTTAAGGTAGAATGCAGTGTTGGGGGTAACGCATTACTTTTTTCAAGTAACTAGCAAAGTAACACATTACTTTTAAATTTACAACAAAATATTTGAGTTACTTTTTTTTAACAAGTACTTTGTTTTCCCATTTATTCACTGATTTGAGGCGGATTAATTTCACTTTTGATGTGAAAGGTCCTTCACAGTTGCCAAAAATATATCTTTTGGGCTTTTTGTTATTACAAATAAGCAAGCTCAGCTCAAAAAGTAAATCAAAAGTAACAATGCATTATTTTACACAAAATGCAATTAGTTACTTTATGGTGTAGCACAATATTGTAATGCACTATTTTTAAAAGTAGCTTTCCCCAACACTGGTAGAATTGAATTTAAACCTATGATTTCAGACTGCATGGAATATTTCCAGCCTACTTCTAAACCTCCATTTGTCACATAGCAGAATCACTAACGTGAGCTGTAAAAAGGTGATTAAAATGATATCGGACACTTGTTGGTGCATTTCTTTCTGGCCTAAATTAAGGTTCAAAACTACACAGCAATGCTCAAAAACATTTTACGGTTTCAAAAGTAATTCAAATCAGAGCCAAAGCTTTTTAATCATATATATTTTATTCTCAATACAGCAAAATACAAAGATGATTCGCAACACTCAGAAAATCCATTAGTAATACTCACTTCACCAAAAAAATAAAAATAAATAAAATAAAAGTGTTTAAATTACAAGTTATTACAAGTTTGGATAATCGAGGCTCATAAGAGACATCTGTACAGCTTAGTATTTAAATAGAAACATGCGAGTGTTATTTTTCAACTGGATGAAGAAAAAAAAAAAAACCAAGGTATCTCACCCTGGGTAAAGTTATGATCACAAAGAAAATTAAATATGGATTTAAATCAATCAGTCAGTCTGATCCTCTAAAGCATTACCATGAACTCTAGTAGAAAAGATAAAAACGAAAAAAAAAAAAAAAGGACAGCACAACAACATGTCTGGAGAAGCAAAAAGGCCATGGGAACAATCCATATTCATATGCAGTTACTTTATCATCACGAATCTGGTACAGGAATCACATTAGTGCATGAATTCATTTACATAAAAGCACAATTAACAGACCTCACCCCTATAACACAATGAACTTATTGACTCTCTAAATTTAAATGATGCTCATGACAAGAGCATCAGTGGTATATCTAGAGGCCAGCCATTAAATGTTTAACCTCTACAAGTTTGCTTTAACTGATGAAAATTTTAATTGGCAGGAGTCCTCGTTAGCTACTGCACAAACGAGCAAGAAAAACATCTGCATAGACAGAAAAAAAAACAGTTTGGGAGCCAATTAGAGGAAAGATTCTAGTGCAAGAGATGTTACGTTTCCAGCATTGGATTGACTTTTCACTTGACCTTCCTCTTTCTGCTGCTAAACCGATCAAAGTTTCGATCTGATTTACTGCGTGTATAGATTACGGGTCGGTCTGCGCTAAAATCACTCTATGTACATACATAAACTGCTATTCTCAACAGAACACATAAATATATCCTCACATGACTGCGGTCTTTTAAAAGAACTGCAACACACAGGTGACTACGACACTATAAACGCAAACTCAAGACTCACATTAAATATTTAAATATGATATTTTCATATACAATAGAAATACGGCTCTCCTCTCGTATTGCAACCCTGTATCCATGCCCAAGAGTGAAAATGCAACCTGGAACGAAGCGATTTGCCGTTATCTAAATAAAATCTATATTAGGCTGAGCCAAGGTAATAAAATACTCCTGCGTTTAATACCAGAAAATCAAGAGCGAGAAAGTGACACCTATGCGAGTGCTACATTTCGTATAAAAATCTTGGCCTGGGAGTTTGTGGTAGTGACGTATACAAATATGACAGGCTTTAATTCCTTTGTGGCGTCTGTGGATGTGGCAAGCCCAAAAAAAAAACAAAAAAACATTAGTAATAATGCCTTGATATGGTGCCGAACAGTCTTTTGGTCCTGTATACAAGAAAGACGATCAGTCAGCACTGCATTCATTATCTGCTGAGTGCATGATGCTCTTTCTGCTTCTCGTTTTACAAGCCTTTGGCAATCCACACCCTGCGTACAAGTCGAACCTTTCAAGATATTGTGTCTCTCGGTTTCCTGTATATCAAATACAAGGCACAATAAAATGATAAAAGGAGAAAACCTCAATTTTAAAGCACCTTTGGTTAAAGGGAGGTACTTTGGTTGAAATAAAAAGCTATAAACATCCAATTATTATTCTTGTTTGCTTATAGCTAGCAGAAAATAAACCAAAAAGACAGTCAAAGTAAGAAAGCAGGCTTTTTTTTTTAGCTAAACAAGCCGATGATATGAGCCGGACGATGCAGTGTATGAGCGCTCTGACAGTCGTGTGGATTGGCCGCCTCCCCTCTCATGAATATTCATAGGGTCTGTGGTGGAGGGGCGGGGCACTGAGTGTTTCCATTTTTGGCAAGCTGGTGTAGAGATGAACACAGTGTCACAGAGATGTCTGAGGCAGATCGAGTGTGTGAGGGTTTTGCGTAGGCATAGAGGGGCTATGGATAGGGCCGCTCTACTGTACGAGCTTGGCGTCCAGTCGTAGCCAGTGCAGGCCCTGCCGCGTGAATCGCACCAGGTCAGTCATGCTGCTGGTGTTGAAGATGAGCGGGCCCATAGCCTTGTCCAGTTCGGAGAAGAACTCTGGAAAAGACCAAAGAGAAGAAGTCAAAACTGACAGTCTTTAGCAGGTGCTCACATTCGGATTCATGCAAGAGGAAAATAAGGAAAAAAACAAGATCCTGAGCCAGAATCAAGTCACATTAAAGGGTTAGTTCACCCAAAAATGAAAATTAGGCTGCGTTTTACTCACCCCCGAGGCATCCTAGGTGTATATGACTTTCTTCTTTCAGACGAATCCAGTCGGAGTTATATTAAAAATTGTCTTTGATTTTTCAAGCTGTTTAATGCCACTCAGCGGGTGTTGCAGTGCTTCAGTCCAAAAGAACTTAAATAAGAAGCGCCCATCCATAATAAAAAGTGTCTCACACGGCTCCGGGGGGTGAACAAAGGCCTCCTGTAGCGAATCGATGCGTTTTTGTAAGAAAAATATCCATATTCAAAATGTAATAATCACTTTAATGTAGCTTGCGCTCACTGTTGTAAACAGAAGCAGTTCTGGGTGGATGACGTATGAGTTCAGCATTGCACATGCGCCGCTCAGAAGTGACGAACGCGGAAGCGCAGGGGAGAGATCAAAACAAAACAACGGTCAAGAATTAGAAGTACAAAACGACAAAAACGCATCGATTTGCTACAGAAGGCCTTTGTTCACCCCCCGGAGCCATGTGAGACACTTTTTTTTTTAAATGGATGGGCGCTTCTTATTTAACTTCTTTTGGACTGATGCACTGCAACACCCGCTGAGTGGCATTAAACAGCTTGAAAAATCAAAGACAATTTTTAATATAACTCCGACTGGATTCGTCTGAAAGAAGAAAGTCATATACACCTAGGATGCCTCGGGGGTGAGTAAAACACAGCCTAATATTCATTTTTGGGTGAACTAACCCTTTAAGCTATATAGCATTTTTCACAACACTTTTTTTTTTAAAACAGCTTTATAGAAATTCATAATATTAGTGTTTACAACATCTTCATGCCTTATAGTTGCATTAAGCAGATTACAGCTGGACAACATTGTTTCATTTTTGCGTTTTTTTTTTTTTTTTTGGAATGTGTGATACTTTTTTCAGGATTCTTTGATCAATAAAAAGTAAAAAAAGAACAGCATTTATTTAAAATAGATTTTAGTTTTAACAGTATAAAGTCTATATCCCTTTTTACTAATTTAACATCCTTGCTGATTAAAAGTATTAATTTCTTGCAAAAAAAAGAAAGAATTCTTTTCTGACCCGGTAGTGTACATTCAAAAGAGTTCTCTTTTTTACTTTTTATTCATCAAAGAATCCTGAAATAAGCATTACAGTCTCCAAAATATATTAAGGAGCACAAAAGTTTCCACCATTGATAACAAATGCACATTTGTGACCCTGGACCACGTCATAAGGGTCAATTTTTTGAAATTGAGATTTATACATCATATGAAAGCTGAATAAATAAGCTTTCCATTGATGTATGGTTTGTTAGGATAGGACAATATTTAGTTGAGATACAACTATTTGAAAATCTGGAATCTGAGGGTGCAAAAAAATCTAAATATTGAGAAAATCATCTTTAAAGTTGTCCAAATGAAGTTCTTAGCAATGCATATTACTAATCAAAAATTAAGTTTTGATCTATTTACGGTAGGAAATTTACAAAATATTTTCATGGAACATGATCTTTACTTAATATCCTAATGATTTTTGGCATAAAAGAAAAATCGATAATTTTGACCCATACAATGTTTTTATTGCTATTGCTACAAATATACCCCAGCGACTTAAGACTGCTTTTGTGCTCCAGGGTCACATATTAGAATGGTTTCTGAAGATCATGTGACACTGAAGACTGGAGTAATGATGCTGAAAATTCAGCTGTGCATCACAGAAATAAATTACATTTTAAAGTATATTATAATAAAACACCAGCATTTTAAATTGTAATAATATTTCACAATTTTACTGTTTTTTCCCCTGCATTTTTTGATCAAATAAATGCAGCCTTGATGAGCAGAAGAGACTTCTTTCTACATCCAATTTTATATAAAATTCTGGGTGTTAATAGCTACATTTTTGCAACAAAATAAAAAAAACAAGCAGCTGACAGCTATATATTGCTTTACATGAGCGTACAGTATGTATGTTTTGGTAAAGTAGATGTACTGTATAACTAACCTGTAAAATCTATTGATTCTGTAAGCAAATAATAAAACAGACAACGCAATGCTTCCCATGGACATTCATGCTTGGTTAGAAATAGAATGACTGAAGAAAAGTCAGAAAAGCTGCGTGGAGTCACAAAACCACCTGAGTACAGCTTCAGGAAGAAGGAAATGGACTTAAAAGAATACCTCTCTGCTCTTTGGCGAGCTGTTCGGCCTGCTCCCACACCTCGATGGCGTAGAGGAAGTTGGAGGTGACCTGGACGTAGCTGGCTGCCATCTGGTGGATGCGCTGGGGGATGGTGACGGAGGAGCTGGTGCTCTGGCTGGAGCTGCTGGAGGAGTAGCTGCCCGCACTGCCAGGAGACAGTTTAGGAGAGACCGGAGACGGCATTCCCGCCGTTTTACTGCAGGACGCAGAGGACAGAGACGAGCATGAGTCAGGACACAATGAAGGATCTACGCATGATCAGCTATTGCTTCTGTCCTCACTGGAAGTGTAATGTTTAAGAGACTAACTACCAAGTTTATTCATATATACAGGGTTTCTGCAGGTTTTATAAAAGGCACATTTAAGACTTTAAAATGTAAAGAATCAACTGAGGAGAACTTAAGGCTTGAATAGCACTGCTTCCAAACACTGGAATATGGAATTTACACGGAAAAGAAGTGATGCTCATCAGTATTTTGTCTTGTTTTCAGTGCAAATGTCTCAAGATATTTAAATCAAGAAGCAAAATGAAATGATAGGAAGCCTTGATCTGAGAAAATGAAGTGAGTTTATGACTAAAACAAGAAAAAAAAAAAAAAATCAGGAGGGAATTTGGGAAGTTTTTTTTTTTTTTAAGCATAATCTCACAATTTTGTTATATTTTTTAATAATTTAATGTATCTTGATGTTTAGATATTTATACTGGAAAACAAATATTTATACGAGGAAGATATTTATATATATATATATATTTTTTGCAATGCATGCCATTAAATGTGCATTTTGCAATATTGGCTTATATTTCAAAAACAGAATATAGCACAACCTCATGTTTTAACGCTTTAAAGGCGAGTGTAAAAAAATTTAATATTACAGGTAATATCAATTTTGTTAATTTGCAAGTTATTCATTGTTTGTTATTGCTTAATGGCATATGAAAGCAGAGAGATATTACCCATTGGTGCATTTTTGTTACTGTTTTTGTGTGTGTGTGTGTGTGTGTGTGTGTGTGTGTGTGTGTGTGTGTGTGTGTGTGTGTGTGTGTTTTCAGCACGAGGTTGCCAGGATGTTGCTAATGTGTTCGGAGTGTTGTTGCACACTGACATGCGGTTGCAGGTGGTATAATATTTACACCATCTACAATAATAATAATATAAACCAATGTAGCTTACTTTGCTACTCCAGGAGATGGCGCTTGGTTATTACTCAACGAATTCTGGAAGAAATAAAACCTTAGTTAATACATCTTGTATATGTTATGATTTTAAGAAACATTTTGAGAAACATTAACAACAACAATAATTCAATTTCACATCATAGTAACCTTTTGATAGACAAAACTACCAGGTTTTCATGTTTTCTGGAATTTTGTCATACTGGATATTTCAGACCTACACTACCGTTAAAACGTTTGGGGTCAGTAAGATTTAAAAAAAAAAAAGAAATTAATACTTTTATATTTAGCAAGGACACATTAGATTGATCAAAAGACAGTAAAGTAATAGAAATGTTTCTTGAGCTGCAAATCAGCATATTAGAATGATTTCTGAAGATCATGTGACACTGAAGACTGGAGTAATAAAAAACATTTCAAATCAAATAGAAATCAGTTAGTTTAAATTGTAATCCTATTTTAAAATACTTAATTGATATAATAATATTTAATATAAAAAACAAACATTTATAAAAAACATTTTAAAAAATTGTACAGACTCTAAACGTTTGAACTGTAGCGTACATTTGCAAATAGTTTGAGAAGAGCCTTGACATGCTAACCTTATAGTCGTGATTTAAAATACAGAAAATCCCGTTACCTTCAAGTGTTCAGTGAGCGTTTTAGAGTATTTCAGTGCACTTTCTTTGCGTAGCTTGAAGAGCCTCAAATACAGGAGCGCTTGGCACCTCAGGCTGCAGAGAGACACAGACGGATCCACTGATTAGATCTGCCACTGGTTACCAAACACTGGATCCACATTAACATAGATATCAGTTTTAACTATGTACTTCATTACTAAAGTCAAATAAAGATGGCTGGTATCAAACACTGATAATACATTTAAAGGAACAGTTCATCAAAAATAAATGTACTCACCCTCCACTTGTTCCAAACCTGTATGAGTTTCCTTCTTCAGTTGAAGATAAAAAGATATTTTGAAGAATGTTGGCAACCAGACAGTTGACCAACATTCTTTAAAATATCATCATTCGTGTTCAACAGTACAAAGAAACTCATACAAGTTTGGAACAAGTGTAGTGCGAGTAAACAATGACAGGATTTTCATTTTTGGGTGAACTGTCCCTTTAACATCATTCTGTTGGAAATAGAAAATTACTCTTACTAAAGATTGTAAAAGCATACTAAGACCGGGCTGCTCGTTGTGTCATTAATAGCATCTCAGATAAACCTCGACTCAGTGTCTTCATATATTCTCAAATTCTTTCTTGTGTTCGTTTAAGACAGCCACTGATGTGTGTCTGCGACGTACCACAGCACCGCTAGCCTTTTGTCTGCAGAGGTTGCATCCGGCGCCAGGTAGCTCTTCAGCTTCATAGTGTACCTGCACAACACGCAAACACACGCGTTTGTCAGCAAACTCTGAAAGCACAATGAAGAGAGATGCTGGAGGAATATTCTGGCAACTTACTTGATGAGTTCCACGGTTTCTGCGTACATGGGGAAGGGTGATTTGGCCTCCTGGGCGCTTTTCTCCAGGGCGTTTCCACACTCGATGAAAGACACCACAGCATCCAGATAATACACGGCCTTCTCAAACCTGTCCATCTGTAGAAAGGTCGATACACGTCAGAGCCAAACCGAAAGCTGCGTCCCAAATGATGCACTATACTCTATGCACTCATGCACTATGTACTTAAGCACCACGTACTCAACCATGTAGTGTATGAATTATATAAGGTTATTTTGTCATTCATAATCAGAGTCTGATAGCCCCTCCCCCTTCACTACGTAATTAAAGCTGCGACAGTTGAGTGCATGAAGTGTCCAACATTCCACACTTCATTTTTTCTGTTATTTAAGTGCACTTTTTATTTTTGGAATTTTCAGTGTGAACGCACTACTCGCACTATTTATACTACAAAACGTCATAGAATAGTGCATAAGTACGCGATTTGGGACGCACCTTAACTCTATACAGATGCTTCTAAGCTCCATTCCAAATCATGTTACGAAATGTGTGAGAATGCAAAGATGCGCTCTAATGGACAATTGTCTTTTTTATGGACAGCTTTCATGCCTGCATTATTTCTGACATATGGGTCAAAGATGAGGTGTCCAATTTGGTGTCTGCATCAATTTAAATTTACAAAAGTGATAGTATACATAGAAGGCATATTAAATGCAAGTAAAGCATCTATTTTTGTGAAAATAAAATGTCAAAATATGGGTGAAATAATGTTGTGTTGTCATTCAGTGTAACATATATTTATTTATAAATGAAACCACATACATATTCAGACCGGAACTTATTAAAATATATGGTCACACTTTAGTTTGGGGACCAATTCTCACTAATAACTAACAATTAACTACAACTTTTGCCTCAATAAACTCCTAATTTGCTGCTTATTAATAGTTAGTATGGTTGTTGTTAAGTTTAGGTACTGGGTGGATTAAGGGATCTAAATATGATCATGCAGAAAGAGGCATTAATATGTGCTTTATAAGTACTAATAAACAGCCAATATGCTAGTAATATGCATGCTAATAAGCAACTAGTTAATAGTAAGAATTGGTAAAGTGTTACCTAACATGTAAAAGAATGCTATTATATTTTAAATGATTAATAGCTTCTTGCTAAAAAATGGGTAAAACAAGAATATTGGTAAAGATTTAATGTTACAGTTAATTTGTATTTTAGGGGCTGCACTGTGATCCTTAAAAAGGGTCTTTTAATGTCATCTAATGACTCGTTTTAAATATTTTTGGAACTATTTTTTCTCAGAAAAAATCTAATTAAACAGGACACATTCTAAAAAAAAAAAAAAAAATTGCACTAAACATTAGTTTTGATGCTTGAAAACCCCTTTATAGACAAACAGAAGTGACTCATGAGCTTGGTGTGAGGAGAGCACCTGTTGGAGGACTAACACAAAAGGTCAGGGGTCACAGAAATGTCATGCAGATTATCTGACACGCACGTCGAGAACCGTAGGCCAGTAAACAGACCCTCACCAGAGCATCTGCGTTGTGTTTCAGTTTCTTCGCTTCTTGGAGGTAATGATCAGCCGAATGAACCCTGCAATTCAGAAGAAGGACTGGCTGTTACTTCACATCAAAAATTCAAAAACTTCAACACCATGTCCAAAAATTAAGACAACGAAATAATGATAAAACAATACATGATGCTTAAACGTCCCACTATGTGTAGCCAGATTTTAGACCAATGAGATTTCACCATGCACTGTAAAAATGATTTTGAGTTTGAAGACTTCAAAAGATTTCAAATGTTTAATTCAATGTGTTACTTATTTGTGAAATTTCTTAAGCAACATTTGTTTACATTTTTTTTTTATTTGGGTGTGGCTTCTCAAGTGTGACATGATGAAAAATAATAAAAAAATATTGTCACTTCTCACAATAATAGACCATTGAATCGGATTAACATGGATGCTTTAAATCACAATCACACAGTTTAAAAGGATCTTAAAAGTAATTACTCAAAAAAAAAATAATAAATAAATAAAAAAAAAAAAAAAAAGATGAAAATCTCCATACCTGTCCTCAAAGAGGAGTTTGGATCTAGATTTAGAGCCATCAGAGAGGGGCGGCACTGCAATGGGATTCTCTGCTTTAGAGCTTTTCTCCTGGGAATATAAAAAAAATGTCAAGGGATTCCTAAATTAAGATACATTTATAATGACATAAGTAGTGTTGTTTCTGAGAAACTGAATGATGAGTTTGTGATTAAAACAGCAAATATCTGCCAATGGACTCAAAACAAACAAAAACAACTTAATTCAAAGGGAACACAAGTTTTCAAACCCCACTGACAGATGTTTGCTCTTGTTTTAATAAAGAATTTACATTTGCACCAGATACAGATACATTAATGAAGTTAAGACAACCATTTTTTTGCAGTGCATGCAACATTTAATGCCATGACTATGAATTGAAGACTTTGTTTTGATTCTCGACCGTTTTAAGGCCTTAAATTGTGGACGGGTGAATTAAGACCTTTAAAACAGGTTATGCAGGTTAAACAGGCTATGGTAAAACAGGTAGAGAGCAAAGGCTTCACAGAAGCTGAACCTGAAGAGGCATATATGCATATTACAAAGTGTTTTAACTAGGGTTGGGTGTTGATTTTGGGCGATGCCAATGTCTACAGTGAAACATCGCGATGGACGATGACATCGGCGGGGGGGGGGAGTGGTAGCTGAAGCGTGAACTCTTATAAGGCACGGAAAACAAATAACGATTCCTAACACCGTGTCTACACCGAAAGCGAGCAGCGCGGCAAAATACTATAGAACCACTGATCTATAATAGAGATTCATTATATATAGATCAGTGAACTTATTATAATCAGTGATCTACACTGGATGCAAATCCCCGACAGTAAACTTCTGCTGCGTTCTATTTATGATGTATTGCCTCAAATTTCAAATGATTTTCAACGGTCGCTTTGTCGCGTCCAGTGTACTAGACAGATTTTTATGGTATAGTTTTAACAAAGTTATTACATAAAGTGCTGCAAAAATTTCCAGAAACTAGATGTATTTCTGTACATGCACAATACAAGATGCGTTACATAAAAGTTGAAGACAATACACACTGGCAGCATCCAGCAACTAGTCTTTGAGAGAGCCTGAGGTCTTCTCATGTTGGCCTGTGTTTGTGTGTGTATATTTGTAAAAAGGGGAGGACCACAAGCGCAAACACACCCTGGCATCCCTGCGTAGGGGCTTGTCGTCGCCTTTGCGGTGTTTGGAGTTGGAGCTGCTCTTGCTGCTGCCGCTGCTGGGCACAGAGGCGGAGGACTGGCTGAGCGTCCGCTTGCGGCCCTGGTGCTCTGATTTGGGCGTCCGCTGCAGCGTAATCGAAGGAGAGGGCGCAGACTCCTTCTCTTTGTCCTGAGCACGCTTAGACGAGCTACAGAAAACATTAGGGGTTTAACATGATTATCGAACGGCTCGGTAGGATGAAAAACAATTATTCACACTGCTCCGAAGACTCTGAACTGCGCTGATGTGAGAGGTTAATTGTCTGCTATTCACTTTAATGCAGGCTTTCACACTTTAAGACATTATTTTTCCATATGTATTACATTAACATGTATTTTTGTGCATTAACCACAATGTAGCACAATGTGATACATTTGAACAGTTTTGTAGAATGAAAAGCCAGTGTATTAAAAAATAAACATTTTAAAAAATTGTTATTTTTGATACTATGTCAATTTGCAGGTTATTTATGGTTTACCACAATCTGCAGATACATGTGATCTGATATATTAAAGTAAAAGAGGAGCGATGTTACAAATTGATAAATTTTTGTAACAAAGATTTTTTTAAACGTGTCCCTTGGCAATCAAAAGAGGCTTTTTTGAACCAATGGGATATACATTGTTAAAATATGACATCCATTCACTAAAACATTTTTGCTGGTTAAAGGTAAAGATCTTGCAGTTGCTTACTCAAAAGTATATGAAAATTGTTGTGATTTTAAATAAAAAAAAAATAATGCATTGCAATGCATTTACAGAAAGTTCACCAACATTAATATTTGCTTTTCAGTTATAAAATTTGAGGGATTAAAGCAGAATGAACTCACTCTTTACTGCTCGATTTGTGTGACGACTTTTCATCCTGTTTGGACTTCTTACCGTCTGGTTTGAGACCATCGTCATCATTCTGTGGAAGAAACACGATAGTTATTAAAAAAGGTACACAATTGTTCAAAAGTTTGGGGTCAGTAAGATTTTTTATTTTTTTAATTGGTACATTTATTCAGCAAGGCCACATAAAGACATTTATTATATAAATACAGAATATTTCTATTTTAAATAAATGCTGTATTTTTCTATTCATCAAAGGATCTTTGATAAAATTTATCACTTTTTCCATAACAATATGAAGCAGCACAACTGTTTTCAACATTAATAATATTCAGAAATGTTTACTGAGCAGCAAATCGACATATTATAGTGATTTCTGAAGGATCATGTGACACTGAAGAAGACTGGAGTAATGATGCTGAAAATCCAGCTTTGATCACAAGAACCAATTACATTTGACAATATATTCAACAGTTTAATTGCAATAAAAGCTCACAAAAGCCAATGTAGCCTTAGTGAGCATAAGAGACTTCTTAAAAAAAAAATGTTATTGACCCCAAACTGTATGTTTACAATTAAACCAAGGATACAACCAACATCATTCAGAGCATATTGGGTGTTCAGAAGGCAGGCTTTAAAGAGACAGAAAGTAAAACAGCGTTTCAGGTGGAGGGTGAAAAGTGATGATGCAGCAGTGTATAGTACGAGACAAATAAATCACTGAAATATGTGATCCTGGAGCACAAAACCAGTCTTAAGTAGCACGGGAATATTTGTAGCAATAGCCAACAATACATTGTATGGGTCAAAATTACCAATTTTTCTTTTATGCCAAAAATCATTAGGATAGCGTAAAAAGACAGTATAAGTCATTATAATCCATAATTATGTCCCCACTGGATGCAACGGATGCCTCGTTTGTAATGGGTTTTCATGATTTTGTCTCATCGCTCCAGCCTGACAGGGCATCATCACAATATGGCAAGGGGCGTAACATTTCCGTCTCACGCTTGAGGTATTCGGCCAATCACAACACACTGGATAGCTGGCCAATCACAGCACACCTCGCTTTTTCAGAACGATGAGCTTTGTAAAAATCGACGCGTTTCAGAAGGCGGGGCATAGAGGAGAAACAATAATATACAGTATGTGGAAAATAATGTGTTTTTTGAACCTTAAACCGCATAAACATTTCATTACACCAAATACACAAAATAATGTTCTTTTTAGCAGCATCATATGACCCCTTTAAGTAAAGATCATGTCCCATGAAGATATTTTGTAAATGTTCTACCATAAATATATCAAAACTAATTTTTGATTAGTAATATGCATTGCTAAGAACTTCATTTGGACAACTTTAAAGGCAATTTTCTCAATATTTTAAATTTTTTTGGACCCTCAGATTTTCAAATAGTTGTATCTCGGCTAAATATTGTTCTATCCTAACAAACCATACATCAATGGAAAACTTATTTATTCAGCTTTCAGATGATGTATAAATCTCAATTTCAAAAAATTGACCCTTATGACTGGTTTTGTGGTCCAGGGTCACATATATTCTAGCAAACCCCCCCAAAAAATCCCCACAGAAGAGCTGCCACCAACACCTTGTGTTTTCTCTTCCCCTTGCTGGCTCCCTTTTCTCCCGGCTGTTTCTGCAAGTCTTTTCCTTCAGCAGGGGAGCCCCTCTCCGCTTTCACCTCGGTTTCCTTGTAGACTCGACCAGGCACTCTGGACAGCAGACTGAGGTCGATCTGCACCAGCAGTCTGGGCGGCAGCCTCCCTTCTTGATCGCTCAGCGGGGAAAGCATAGGCGAGAACAGGACAGACGGGTTCTCTGCATACTGCTCTCTCGGCGTCTGTGAAGACGAGGGGACGCTTTCGTTGCCCTCCGAGTCCGACGATGACGAATCGGATTCTATGAACTCGCTCAACTTGCTGGCCGGTTTCTTGCGTTTGTCTTGAGCCGGGCGAGGGGAGGAGGTTTTGGGCTCCTTCTTGATGTTGGGCTTGCGGAGGCCCTTGTTGGGAGCACGGACTCTGTGCGACGGGATCTCGGGCGAGGGTTCAGTCTCCACCTTGAGCCCACCCTTTGGCTCCTCCACCACAGGCGGCTTGTCTGGCTTTTTAGGCTGCTTCTTGCCCACCTCCAGTCGCCGCCCCTTCTGACTTCCCCCCTCGCTCTGAGCGGGAGACCTCTGACTTCGCCTGTCTTGCCCCTTCTGGTTTGGCCGAAGGTCTCGCCCGGCAGAGGGCACCGCGTCTTTTGAACCCGAGCCACTGTAGACCCTGCTGGAGTTTTCTCCTCGCCCCTCTTTCTTATACTTTGTTGGCGTCGTGCTGCTGTTCTCCACCGGAGAAGCAGGGGACGACTTGTTGACTTTCTTGAACCAGTTGTCCAGCTGCCATTTGTTAGCCGTGGGCTGTTCCCGCTGTAATGATGTTAAACAGGGAAACATGCATTGAGTGTGACATAAAACCTAATCTGGTCAATTTATATATAGGCATGGTCTAACAATGTTGAGGGAAATATACACACATTATATATTGCTAGGGTTGGGGATTGAGAACCGGTTCTACATTTCCAAGAACCGTGGATTCGATAAGATGCGCATTTCAATTCTGCTTATTGATTCCTGTGCGCGCATTTTAATGTGAACATTCAAGCGCAAGAACACGCGACAGAGTGCTCACTCTGCTGCACACATCCAAACTGCACTCATATAGTGTGCGAATACCAAATTGAGCTCTCTGACAATTCTACACAAAATTGTTAAAATTAGTACTGTCAATCGATTAAAAAAAATTAATCGCACATTTTCATGTTATAAATCACGATATTGTCATAATTTCACATTGAATCTCCAAATTAATGTAGAAACAACATAAAGATGGTATATTTTAAATATGTGTTTAATGGCATCTTTTTACGAATTTGCCTATTATTAATGGAGGCCAGTATCACTGATACAAATACTGCTACTGATGTCTCTCTTAAAATGCATTTTGCCCTCAATTTTAGCCATTAATTATAGCCATTCAACATTACAGTATAACTGAAAGGCATTATTTAATAGGCTTTGAAAATATAATATTTATTTTTAAGTTAACCTAAAACAATCTTAAACCATAAATTGTATATGTATACTATACTATAAATTGAATATAGATTAATCGTTATTCAAGCTACAAAAGTTAATCAGCGAGCAGAGCAGTGACTGATTCTCTTTTCTTTTGTTCTTTGATTTCCATCAATGACAGACTGCAGCAGATTTCACTTTAAAAGCAGCGCTGTCTCTTTAAAACCTGATGCACGTGACGCGGATCTGACACACATCTGGTTTTCTCTCTTTATCCTTTACGGCCATTTAGGACTTTTTAACTCATTTAAGACAAGGTTTATGAGGTCACTTGCCAAAAATGGGTATTTTGACAATTTTGTCCATGAAACAGAACTCAGTGCTGCATTAATTGCAATTAAATATTTAACGTGTTAAACTGAAAAAAGATAATCGCACAATTAACATGTTAATTTTGACAGCCCTAGTTAAAATATACTCATAAAAACACAATTAGTTTTGTCTTAAGTGAATGTAAACAGTTGAGAAAGAAGACGCATGTGTATCAGGTTACTGGATCTGTGCATTCGGTCTTAAAGTGACAGCAGCCTCTACCTGCTGCAATCTGCGTCATTACCGTTAATCAAAGAACAAAACGAAAGACAATCACTCACTGATCTTGACTGAATACATTTTTTTTGTAACTTTAATAAGGATTAATTCACATTTTATTTATAAAAAAAAACCTAGTGTTATTTTAAATTTGATTTCAATTTCTTTACTGCATTATTTGTGCTATTATTAAATTGTTTATCGGTTATTATTTTATTAATGACTGTCTACTTGTCTTTAATCATGTTTAAAATCAATATTAGTTAGTCTAGCTGTTTTCGCTGTGGTACTTTTATTAAAACCATAAGCAAAAGTTACTATTGGCTGTTTATTCATTTTTTTATTTTGTAGGATGCTGTTCATGGTATTTAGCTGCAACAATGTTTTGCAAAAAAACTGAATAAATATGTTTGATATCTAAATGTTTGACTTCTTTTTAACCTTTTTTTAATAAAAACTGGGAATCGGTAAGAACTAGAACCGAAAAGCAGAAATGGAATCGCAAAACCGATACCCAACCCTACATATTGTGTCATTATCATAATCCTGATCAGCTTTCACGTGATGAGTTGATCTACATGTGCGTGTGAAGGCTGTGTTTGTGCAGGCGATTCACCTCGGGTGACGCAGGACGAGGTGGCTCGTTGTTCTCACTGTCTGTAGAGCTGCTCTCGCTCTCGCTGTCAGAACCGGAGCTGCTCTCCGAACCGCTGTGACTGCTGGTGTCCACTTGTTCAGGAGCCTCGCTGTTATTACTGTTGTTACTGGGGTAGACATACAACTTTATTACCGTCTTGTTGGCTGCGTGGTTCCTCATGCATTCACTTAAACTTTGCAATGGCACAAATCCAAGTGAGGTGATGTCTATACACTCCTTGAGCAAGTTTATTCACCAAAACCCCCATAATGAGCAATGTGCATCTCTTTACCCGTCATTTACAAGATTCACCTAGGGCCGTTTGCACCAGCTGTGCGCAAGTTACAACTTAGCCTAGTTTTGACATAAAGGGACACTATGTTACAACATACACCCTACTAAATGTTTCTGCATTGCACTATTGAACTTAACAGAAATGCAACTATGTATAAACGAAATATTTACTAAAGCCCATGAGCAGGAGACATAAAATAGCAGATTGACTGAACTGCATCAATAAGCTCATGTTTTAGTTCTTCTTAGACACATGATGATGATGACATCTGCACTCATTTACACAAACTATATTAAAGGCATAGCTAAATGTGACATTTATTATAATGGGTTTATGTGAAGTTTTTTTACTTCAAAGTTTTTTGAAGTTCTGTAACAATTAAGGCCTATTAAAATGATTGCACAACTTCAATGTTGAATGGTTGTATTTCCTCATGTTAACCAATAAATTTATTTAAAATAATAAATAAAAAAAATCTATCCATCAGTAACAGAGGCATCAGTATTGGTGATACTTGCCTGCATTTATAGTACTTTTATATAAATATTTATACACTGTCTTTATATCCTGTTGATTCTACATTAAAAATTATCATACATATTTTCACACTGAATCTAAAAAAATTATGTAAAGTGCGATTAATCAGGATTACAGGAAAATGTGTAATTAGTTAATTTTTTTATTGATTGACAGTACTAATAAAAATACTCAAGTTATTTCATGATTAAGCATTGTATGTCAGTGGAAGCACATGACACAAAAGTAGTTAGAATCAAGAATAAACTAAAATTACAGCATTTGAATATAACTTCTGCTTGTGTTTGCGATTGGATCTTTGAGGGTAAACATCATATTCGCCTATGCAGTACTTTTTAGAGCTTATGACCTACCACCTACATTCTGAATTAAGAACACATGGTGCAACCAAATAAAGTACAGAGTTACTTACAAACAGGCTAGTAGCTACTAAGTCTCTAGCATGGACTTTAATTAAAGTAGGAACTTACGAATGGCTGGTGCAACCCTACCTTAGGGATTGTAAAGTGTGTGGAGGGCTGGAGAGAGGCTTTTGCAAATTTCCTCAAATTTGCCTGCAACCATTTGATGCATTCCCATTGCCATGAAAACAACAGCAGGTGATAACTCAAGACAAGCTCAAGTAACATCATAATCAAGAAACATGTTTCAATGATAAACTCCTTTTAGGTTTTTGACAGAAGCAAAGTGCATAGTGCAAGATCCTGAAATAATACACTACAGAGTTTAATGTTTCAAACACCAATGACACCAACGATCAGTGTGATGATTCATTTAGACAGCAGCAAAAAGAACTGGATTTCATTTCTTTCACGTAGGTATAATATCATAGCGCATTTCAGATTGCTCCTAAATCCCAACATTTCAAATTGTGGTTAGCTGCGGTCCCTTCCTATATAAGCAGGCAGTTCTTGGCCAGAACAAAATGCATTATGGTCCAGAAAGTAGACCAGACAAAATTAGGACTACCTTAAATTAAGGCTAAACTAATTGTGCATGTTGAAATGTTTCATTGTCACCTTAAGGCATGGAATCAAAAAGAAAAAGTACACAACTTCTCTGAATATTAGTTGGGGTTTGAGTGATGATAAACTTGAGTATGTCACCTTGTCGAGGGGTTTTTGGCAGGATCTTGCTCTCCGTCACTGTCTTCGCTGCTGCTGAGCTTCAGATCTTCATGCAGTGTGCTGAAATGAGAGCAAGACAAGAGGAGATCAGTAAAGCACGGGACACACCAAGCCGACTGCAAAGAACTAACGGCGGTGTTTGTTATAATGATGAACTGACTTTAACTGAACATTGAGTGTTTACTGTTTTGCATTATTACACACTATTTTTCCTATTTAATACTGTAAAACTGCTTTGACACAATCTGTATCGTTAAAAGCGCTATATAAATAAAAGTGACTTGACTTGTTGGCTGCGTCTGGACCATACAGCCAACTGCAAACTAGCATGCGTTTCTGCATGTCTATATCATATATATGTGACCCTGGAGCACAAAACCAGTCTTAAGTCGGTGGGGTATATTTGTAGCAATAGCCAAAAATATGAGTAAAGATGATGTTCCATGAAGATATTTTGTAAATTTCCTACCGTAAATATATCAAAACTTAATTTTTGATTAGTAATAACACACACACACACATAGCCCCTTTTAGACTTGCACTCTATTCATTTACTAACTGCTTTTTTTCTTTAAAAAAAAAATTAAAAAAAATAGCTTCTCTGATCTTTTTGTATTCTATTTATTTTCTTTTTATTTATTATACAATTAACAAAAGCAAAAAAGGCCTCTAAGACTAGCTTGCTCTATTCTTTTTCTATTCTATCCGTTTTCTTTTTATTTATTATATAATAATAAAAAAAAAAACCTTGCTACGTGTACTGCGTTAATCTAACCGAGACTTGTTATAGCACTTGTATATCATTGCTCTTTTGTTGATTTTGATTGCTTCCATTGTCCTCATTTGTAAGTCGCTTTGGATAAAAGCGTCTGCTAAATGACTAAATGTAAATGTAAATATCAGCAGCCGTCAATAGTCGATCCTGAATATCAGTTATATCAATTACTTTCTTCATTTTAAGCAGCTCATGTTGTTATGAAAATATTCGACATGCATATGCAAAATGAATCTCGGATTGACCTACAGTCTAATGCTTGACTGAACTCTTCAAATAGATCAAATAGTTCAAACAGAAAAAGCTGCAGGTAGATGCAAGTATATCAGTGGCTCACTTGGACTGCTCGTTGTCGGAGGGCTTAGACGGCTGACTGGTGGATGCGCTCTTTCCTGAGAGTTTTTCTAAGAGGGGAAAACAATCATCAGCACACACAAATGAGCAAAGAGCCATTATAGTTTGATAAAATGATTTCTAAAACTTACTTTGGGCCCCAAAAGACAGGTGCTGGGCATCCTACAACAAAGAAGGCAACAATGACTTATTACACATACATCACAAAAACGTTTCACTGGTTTAAAATGCTATGCTAACAATAGATATAGAAGTTCAAAATGAATCTGGACACTTTCGAAAACTAGATCATCATTTGTTTGCTGAACGAACGAATGCAACTGAAGAGCAGTTCACGGGTCTAAATATGTTTTTGTGTGTTTTTAGTATTTATGCATGTAGGTATTATTCTCATTATTGTCGTCTGAACAACTCATTGTTTCTATAATGTCCTGCAAACATGATAAAAATGGACAAGTGTGTGGCAGGTGTCCTGCTGCTCTGTGACCCTTTCAAGTCTGACCTTGGAGGTGGAGAAAGGAAACTTTGACAGCTCTGTCTTGCAGGGCGTGTGAATGGCTGTTAGTGGAGGAGGCCAGACCTGAGTCATTTCCTGGTGGAGAAAGAAAAAAAAACCCCAATCAACAGATCTTAGAAACCAGAGATAAAGCTAGTATGTGAATTGCTTTGACAACTCAATGAAGGCCTGTTTTACACTGCATTTCCATGCGTTTCATGTCTTCCCTCTGAAGCTTTACATTCTAATTGCATTTATACCTTCATTCTAATGCATCTCCAGTGACAGAGACACTTACATATTACACGAGAGGCAGCGTTAACCAAAACATTTCCATATTACCACATTTTTTAAATACTGACATTACTTCCAAGTGCTTTCTGTCATTTCTTACAGCTCTGTTCTTTGCGTATCCCTTGTGAACAATGTTATTAAGGATTAGAAGTGAAGAAAATGTCAGAGAAGTGCCTCTCTCCCTGTTGAAAAAAACCAGCATATGCTGGTTAGGTATGCTTTGACACTGGGATGCTGGTTTAAGCTGGTCCTTTGCTGGATTAGAAGTGAAGAAAATGTCAGAGAAGTGCCTCTCTCCCTGTTGAAAAAAACCAGCATATGCTGGTTTTTTCAACAGGGCTTTGAGGGAAACTAAAGCCTGCTTTGTCAAGTTTAAGAGAGATTAAAAAACTTGAATTCTAAAGGTTTTCCTCAGATAAAATTGGAAAAACCCAAGACTATTTCAGACCCCATCATCAGACTAATAATAAAAAAAACACATTAAACAAAACCATTAGCATGTTTTACCATGTTGGTAAGCATTGCTAGAATACTGTAAAAGTTGCAAGGCATTATTAACATGTTTTTAACATTTAGCTAAGTGTTGCTAGCATGCAAGCATGGCATTGTTAACCTTTTTAACATACCATTAACATTGCTAAGTGTTGCTAGCATGTCGTCAGCATATTTTAACATGTTGCTAGGCATCTTTAACATGTAGTATGTCCATTTAGCATTTAACACTAGGCATTGTTACTAGGCATTGTTAACATGTTAGCATATTTAACATTGCTAAGTGTTGCCAACATGCTTGCTAGTCTGTTGTCAGCATATTTTAACATTGTTAGGAATTGTTTACATTTAGCTAAGTGTTGCTAGCATTTTGTTTGTTAGGAATTGTTAGTTTAGTGTTGTTGTTAGTGCTGTTAACATGTTGATAGGCATTGTTAGCATATTTAACATGTTCCTAAGCATTGCTAACATGTTTTAACTTAAAGTGCCCCATTATGGATTTTTGAAAATGACCTTTCATGCAGTGTGTAACACATGAAGTTTTAAATCTGAAAGTGCACCGTGTATAAAGTTATTGTCTCTCAAAAGAAAGAGTCGACTCTGAATCATTTAAACGAGTCGTTTTTAAAAACGAATCCCAAGCCGTTTCATGTTGATACATTATTATGGATTCATTGTCTTATAATATGGATCATTACTCCATATTATAAGACAATAAAAGTGTTTTTTGACCTCGCATGCATGTCAACTTGTTGTTGGGGGACTCCCAAAACCAAAATATGAACCTTTCATAACCCATAATAGGGGCACTTTAACATGAAATATTAAACATTTAATGTTTTGCTAGCAAGTGTGAATAAAGTATAACAGTTTTTATTTTACAGCGAACTGTTCTTTCACTATTGACAGCACATAAAATGGTTTTTACCTTTAATATTTCATCAACACAGCTCGCATCTGCTCCCACTGAAACCTGCAAGAATGAACAAAAGCATGTAGATCTTTGCTTATCATCAATCAAATATACAGGGTTGTTTGTGAGCACAGGTATAACAAGTATAACTTAACTTGTTGTCAAACCCTCAGTAGAGCTATAATACATGCAGCTTGCCAATGTTATTGTAAAGGGGTCGTAACATATTATTATCATTATTACAGTAATAGGTCCTTATTATTTTCTTAAAGGTTCATGCTAAATGGTGGAACAGAGCCAGAAAAGTCTCGCCCTGTTTTATGCTGACTAGCTAAAACGTTACAATAAATCCCAAAGAAAATAGTCTATTTTGATGGTTTCATAAATCAGAACAAATGTTTGTACTCTGCTTTGTATAACTCACTTTTATGACTAAACAAAACTGTGTGATCCAACCGAATGGCCAGGAACTGAATGGCCAAATTGATATGACAACCTCATTGTGACACCTAGCATGTACACAAATAAAGTACATTTCATGTCATAAAAACATGCACTTGTGCAACTTCTGTGTACTGTCATCGGAGGCACACGAGTGTGCAAGACTGCAATGTGGTCAATGATATGTCTTTTTTACAGATCTATTAATTTGTCCAAAAATCCTCTAGACATACAGCGACTGACTGAAAATGCAAATCTCTTACAGTAGGTGGCGCTTATGTTAAAGCAGAAATATAGCGGTTACCCTGGTACACGACTGCACTTCTAAACACTTCTTTATTCGGTAACTCTTTACATATAATGCATTATCAAAGTAGTTTTAATGCATTAATTATTCCTTGTAATGCACGTTATAATGCATTGTATGCTGAATATTTATAACCACAGTTATAATACATTATACTAATTTTCTTAGTTAATTACTTCTGTTCATTGCTACACCTTTTGAAAGTACAATGCATTTTAAAAAACAAATGTTATGATGCATTTTGCCTTTGGTTACAAGTACTTACGAAAAGATAAAATGCATTACGACATACATTATATAGACCTTTATAATGCATTATACATAAAGGCTTTAAGTAAAGCAAGCGTTACCAAAAACGCTTTAATTTAAGGACCAATTCTCACTATTAACTAGTTGCTTATTTGCATACATATTTCTAGCATACTGACTGTTTATTAGTACTTATAGCACATATTAATGTCTTATTCTGCATGAGCATATTTTAGATCCCTTAATCCTAAAACTTAAACTCCTAATTTGCTGCTTATTAATAGTAAGGTAGTTGTTTATTGAGGAAAAGTTATAGTTAATAGTGAGAATTTGTCCCCAAACTAAAGTGTGACTAAAAACCTTTCTGAAGGCAGTCAGTTCCTTTGAAATATATATTAAAAACTCTTTGGATCTGCGTGAATCACATGAATAGCCTATTTCAATGTCAGAATGGTGAATTTTGCAACAAATTCGCAGTGCTGGGTAAGTTACTTAAAAAAAGTAATTAATAATTAATAATTTAATAATTTATGCATTTAGCAGACGCGACTTAACAGCGCATTCAGGCTATAATTTTTTTTACCAGTATGTATAATATATGTAATATATGTATAATTAATTACTAGTTACTAATTATATCTTCAACAGCGTAATTAGATTACTGTATAAATTACTTTCTCCAAAAAGTATTTAATTACTTATGACTAATTACTTTCTAAATCCTATATCAACCTTGACAAGTTAATGATACAAGGATAGACATGAAACGGTTCTTTTAATTCTTTCAAGTAACTACATAAATTATTACACTTTAGATTAGGGTACAATTCTCACTATTAACTAATTTTTAACTATGACTTTTGCCTCAATATTCTCCTAATTACTGCTTATTAATGCTCAGTAAAGTAGTTGTTAAGTTTAAGACGAGATACAACTATTTGAAAATCTGGAATCTGAGGGTGCAGAAAACTCAAAATATTGAGAAAATCGCCTTTAAAGTTGTCCAAATGAAGTCCTTAGCAATGCATATTACCAATCAAAAATTAAGTTTTAATATATTTACGGTAGGAAATGTACAAAATATCTTCATGGAACATGATCGTTACTTAATATCCTAATGATTTTTGGCATAAAAGAAAAATCGATAATTTTGACCCATACAATGTTTTTTTAAATATTTTATAAATATGTTTTTTTTAAATATAGCCGTGCTACTTATGACTGCTTTTGTGCTCCAGGGTCACATATGTGCTTTTTAAGTAATAATAAACCCCAATATCCCAGTAATATTCATGCTAATAACCAACAAGTTAACAGTGAGAATTGGACACTAAAGTGTTACCAATATTCTTATTAACTCACCAAAGTATTCAAAGTGCACAGTATTATGTTCAATTACATAAGAAGTAACTGAAATTACATTACAGAGAAAATAAGAGTAATCCCTTCCTTTACTTTTTCAAGGTAAAAGTAATTAAATGACTTAGTAATTAGTTACACCTAGGCATGGGACGATAACCGGGTTCAAGGTATACCGCGGTTTGGAAAAGTCACGGTTTCAAAACCACTAAAATTTTCCGTTATACCGTTCCTGCGGTATGCGCTGTTTTTTTTACGTGTCGTCAAAGACGGAAAGTGCAGGACTTCCTCAGTTGTGTGCAGCGAAGAGCGTAGCGAGTCACACGACCCCTCCTCCTCCGGTTGCTGCGAGCGGAGTCACCTGTGTGTAGGATGGCTGAAGGAGATGAATCCCTGGAACTTTTTACCCCGTCGAAAAAGACAAAGTCTGTCGTATGGGAATTTTTCGGGTAACGTTGACTAACCATGTTTCGTACACAACGATGTTCCGTACAGATGACGTTTTAGCGCCGATCATTAAATAAATACTTCCAGGTCGAACATAAACTATATATCTGTGTCATCCGTAGCAAGGTGTGTGTGTGTATATATATATATATATATATATATATACACAAACAAAGAAAAACAAGTAGAATAGAAAGCTAGAGTTTTTTTTTTTTTTTTTTTTTTAAAAAAAAAAAAAAAAAAAAAAAAAAAACTTTGCCACTGTTTGAGTGTTGTACGGAGAGACCGCGCTGTTCTGATTATTGTTGAGCTGCAGGTTTAGGCTCACTTAAGTGACTGCATTCAATTAAGAAGAATTTAATTATTTATTCTAATTATTTAGCCTGACATGTGTACTGTTCCAAAATGTTCTATATGTTTCTTAAAAATAAAATGTGTTCAGTGGAAAAAAAAGTTGTTTTTTTACCCAGACATTTAAAAAATAACATATTTTAGAGCTGTAATCGCAATACCGTGAAACCGTGATATTTTTATCTAAGGTTATCATACTGTCAGAATCTCATACCGGCCCATGCCTAGTTACACCCAACACTGCAAATTCGCAGGTACATACTTTCGAAAAATGAAACAAGAAATCCACTATAGTTTGTCTTTAAGCTCCGTTTCAATGCTCGGGGAAAAAAGAAAGCATGCACGACTTACATCGACAGGCTGCGTTGGGATCTTGAGCTTGGTGAGGGAAGCCTTGCCATTGGGCTTCATTTCTCCCACAGCGCTGCTGTGTGATTGACCGCTGTACGACTCCGAGGAGGTCTTGGGCTCGGCTGTTTCCCGGTCATCCATGGGCCGCACATAGGCGGTGGGTTTTTGGAGCATGGAGCTGGGTTTGATGAGCGAGGGCGGGAAGCTCTGGCTGGGATGCTGTCCGCTGGAGAAGGAATGAACTCTTGAGGGCGAGTCCCAGTTGGCTTCTCTGTCCCTGGGCGACTTGGTGCGGCCGCGCGAGTGTCCGCCGGAGCTCATGGGGCCCTTGGCCGGGCTGGAGTGGGATTTGTGCTCGGAGCCGTGCTTGCTGGACTTCTTGCTGCTGCTGCTGTAGTCTCGCTCGTGCCGCTGACCACCGCTGCGCTGACTGCTGCCGTGGCTGCCCTGCACTGATGAGCGCTTCTGCGAGGAGGAGGAAGTTGAGGTCGACGAGCAGGATGTGGAAGAGATGCCGCCGACTGGAGTCCATTTACTGTTCTGACTCTGGGTGCCTCCGCTACGCTGGTCAGCGTACTGGCCGGATTTATCGTCCGAGGAGGAGCTGGAGGCTTTGGGAATGAGTTTGGACATTGGGGGTTCACCGATGGTTTCCTTCATCTCGTCGTAATTTCCCAGCATGCTCTGGATGCGACTTGAGAGTTTATCTTCCTTTGAGGACTGTTGGGAGAAAAGAACTTGAGATGAGTGTGAGAACAACAACTCAAACACCAACTAGTACCATATAAAAATATGGATTCAAGTCTGTGTGCGCAATTTCAAAACTTCAAAACGTGTCTATTTTCAGGGGTTCAAGCTGACTAAATGGTCACATTTTACAACCGTTTTTGCTGTTTAAGTCAAACTGATGCCACTAGAAAGTACGCAAGCCCTCTTTGATTTACTGTAGTAACTAACTCCATTAACCTTGGCATTTTGGCAGAAACACTGCATATTCATATATTATTATATAGTTATTTAAGTGATGCACCGTAAATGAAAATTCAGGATGCACTTGGTCAAAAACCAAAAACGGAAATAACCATTATTTAATAATCAAGTAATTTATCAAATTTATTTAATCAACACTCAAATAAAAGCTGACTTGTATAAAGATTTAAATTGCACATAAGGCAGTTTTCTAATAACAGAATTATGTTTCTACAATTTATTGTTCACGTTCTGCACTTGCACTTCTTTCTACATATTTTAGTGACCTCTGAATAATAAATGGAATAAGCTTTTTTAGCTGCATTTGGAGGAGTGCGGATCTCTTTCATCTTTGTATATTTTGGATCTACGCACCATATGTTTTTGTCTACTGGATTTTGGACGAGTGTTTGGTGCTACTGCCTTTTTTGTGGATTACAATTTATTGTTGAAATAAACATGCAAACAATAAAAACACATTAAATAAAAAAATTAATAATGTACATTAAATAACGAAAATAACAGATTGGTAAAAAAAAAAAAGTATGAATATGCATATATTTAGCAAAATGCTCCTTTATAGATTTATTTTTTCTAGCTGACTATCTTGAGGTAAATGTGACATTACATAACATTATTGTTTACGAGCGGTTTTAATGATGTCTCTCTGCAGTTGAAACACGGATTGAGACACAGCACATTTCAAATGCTACAAATAATATTTAGCAAGCGCATCAACAGAAAACAGCATAAAGGAAAAGACTGATCTTTAGTTTTAAGAATCCATATTTGTATCGATGAAATCGAACTATTTTGCCCTAAACCAGAAATTGCTCTTTTTCGGCCCCCGAAATTTCAGTGCATCACTAAATATAATTAAACATACTAAGAGGATTAAGGAAATATAATTACAACTATGGCAGTTTCTGAATTTTGTATTTAAAGTTTCTAAATGTTTTAGGCTACTGTTTTTTAGTATAAAACTCATAGTTACATCTAACCATGGTAGTGAAGAATCATACATGGTTTAGTCTGTGCTTACTACAAATACCACTGTTGAAACTATGGAAACTATATCAATTACGATGGTAAATGTGTAGAATCAAAAGGCTTTAAAATCTTGCTACAATTATTATCTTCTGTGTAAAAGTCCTTTTTTTAGTGGATATTTGTGTGAATACACTAAAATGTATATGAATACATATATGATCTGAAACTTGAATAGAAAGTAAGGCAAAAGGGTATCTGTAAACAACAAATCAGATGCTGTAATTTCATCTGCACATTACGCTGTTAAAAATGATTTAGAGATAATGTTGAATCACATGACCAATAAGACACTATGATTCAATATTCCCTGTCCTGTTTTATAACTTGATCTGTCCACAATGTTCGAGTCAAGCATACAGGAGCAGATTGTTACATTAAGTGTTTTTTGCACTACTACCCTCAATGAGTTCATCCAGAATAAACGAGTAATACACCACGTCCCATGTCAAAGCAGGGGTTTTCCACTGATAGTGCACACCACTTCATCTCACCCCAAAGGGAGAATACAGCTGTCTGTATTCTCTGCCTGTCAGGTTTCATCTCTTGTATCCTGTGACGGGTTCACCACCAAAGTAAAGCACTTACCGCTGTGCAAATCTGGTTAGCAGCAAAGATTAGACCGTAATCTTCTTTAGTGTAACCTATGTGACTATTACATATGTGTCCTTTTTCCCCCCATTGCAGCTTTATATCAGCCCAATTAGAATGAAAACCCCCATGAACAGCGTTTTAGTCCATTGATCACATCCTGAAATACTATCTAAAAATTTAAAAATAGGTCAGAAGGAATGCAATGAAATTAAATAGGTTCTTGTAGCATCTGACGGTGGATCACCTCAAAGCTAAAATATTAATGACGCATTTCCACTCCAAATTTAGTCCAATAAGCCTTAACGAAAGAGCAGCAAAACATGGTTGCAAAAAACAATAATAAAAGTCCTTATATACATCCCGCCCAAACTTCCTGTTTAAAAACTAAATGTGTTGACGCAGCAAAGACACTGTGCTTGTGAGGCAATTTCATGAGCTTATTAAATACATGCAAAACACAATTAGCAAAAATTAGCACTTTTCAACAACAACAACAAAAAAAGTGTGTTACTATAAATAGGGGCAGAAATTGTGATAATTGTAACAATTGTAACAAAAACTTAAATACAATTGTTCAAAAATGATTCCATTAACAAAGCTTCCTCAAAGTTCTGAGTTCATGTTTGTTGTGTGCAACCAACAAAGACAACAAAATAAATGTACTGTCTTGATATTACTTCATGGAACACTTTTCTCTCTCTCTCATCTCATCTCAAAACCACGTAATTCCTTCAACCATGGTACTGAAAAAGAAGTCAAATGTTCTTTCCTTCCACACAGCTGCAAACTAAACCACACGATGCTTATTCCTGCAGAACTAGACAGTGGGCAACAGGAGATTTGCTGAGCACTTACCACACATTTAGGACAGAAAGCTAACAGGCCACTAACTATATCAGCCAGACATATTTAAAAGCAGCTATACTGTTACTGAAAATTTCAAGCTGATGCATCTACAGTGCAAGTACTTACCCATAAAATGCCCTGTAATTACCATTAGGATTGAAATAGTCGCCAATAAAAACAGTACAATGCATGGTTTTTGGGACACGTACCATAGAATTGTTTGAAGCACAAAGCGCTAGATACATATATAGTAAACTCGATTCATTTTGAGATTTTCATCCCTGATTGGAAACGGTTTCTAATTGAAAAATAAATAGATAGCGGTCACTAGATAATGATTAAATTTAACAACTTACTTTGAAGCATCTAAGTTGCTATTTTGCATTTTAGATAACAGTGATATCTTATTGTGATGTAAATAATGATCATTTTAAAAGTAAAAAACCTATCGTGTTACTGTATTTGTGTGCATGCAACATGCACTTTCTATATATTCTATATATAATTGTATAGAATATATATATATATATATATATATATATATTTAAGGTGGTTGTCGTTAAAACAGTTTTTAGTAATTTGTTAATTCATTCCATTTAACAAACATATTTTTACAGTAAATGTAAGTTTAATCTGTAATACATAATTTTGCTACTGCATTTTTGCAGTACAGTTCTGGCAAGCAAAGTTGGTGTTTTTTTACTGCAAATTTTTTTGGACAGTGCAACCATTAAATCACCCGTATCTGTCACGTTAGCATGATGCATACATTTTTCCAATAATTATGTAATTACCAAAGTTGCTGTATCACCACAGTGCTTTTATCTGTAAGGATTTTTCTGCTAAAGAGCGAGATTAATTGAGAATAGAAGCCAAAAAGGAACAACCCAAGATTAAATGAGGTCTTCAGGGCAAAATAATAAATAAATAACTGATGATCAAACGGGGAGGAAAAAAAAAAAGAAGAAACAAAATGAACTTACTTTATAAGGTTCAGGAAAGAGGGGAGAGTTAGCTGGAAAGGCCTCTCCTCCCTGCTGGATTTCTTGATTTCTCCTTTCCCTTTCTTTCATACGGAGCATATTCCGGTCTTCACGGTTCATGTTGCTAACAACAGAGACACTAAGAGTCACTAAGCAGTGAAGAAGCAGAGGAAAAATGGCTTCCTGACACCTTGATCTACACCTGGATCTACTAAGATAAAGTTACACATTTGAACAACAAATGGAGACAAATGGACAAGATTACTGGAGACAATCAGATGTGCTTTCCCTTCAAAAAACAAGCCTGGACTGTCCTACAGAATAACAGACAACAGTCATGTAGCAGAACTCAAAAGTTAAAATTCAATCAGACACGGTTATTGGTAATACTGACTTTAATTCTGTCCATCTTTGTTGTACGCTGCGTGCTTCGGCTAACCCAACATTATATTACATACACACCATCATTATCTCCCTGCACCTCATTAATAATGAGAGGACTCACTAAAGTAGTTACAACATTCGGCCTATATTTAGCAAATGGAAATTCTGATGAAACTATAGCAAACAGAAACCTTTGAAAAAGGTGATTTCAAAAGTTAAGACATTTAAGGTTCGCATGAGACGTGTGTAATCGATGGTGTCAAGTGAAACTTCCCAAAAAACATTAGTCTGTAGTTTAGTAATTGGTAAAGACCATGCCCACGTCATTCAAAAAGGCAGATTTTTTACTTGAAAAATATTAATTATCAGTTCAGATCATTTTCTAAACTGTCATTCAAAACCACAACAGGTTGAAAACAACTCTTGTTGAAACATATGTAAATGCTGTACAGAGGCTTAATGAACTTTGTAGCTCAGGACTACATAGATAATATGCAGGTTTCCACTCATTTCTTAAGTAAAGGTATAGAAAGCTGGCAATAAATTAGTAATTATAGTCGCTGAAGCCATAACTACAGATTCATTTTACCTAGAGTTTCACTACAAAATCGAAGAGAGAACGAATAGAAAGCAAGCAAAAGAAAGGGAGAGAAAAGAAAAGAAAAAAAAGGAACAGAGCAAAGACAAAAAAAAATGTGAAGAAACAAAGACAGAAATACAGAAATAAAGACAGAAAGAAAAAAGACAAAGACAGACAGACAGAAAGAATGACAGAAAGAAAGACAGACAGACAGACAGAAAGAAAAAAGACAAAGACATACAGAAATAAAGACAGAAAGAAAAAAGACAAAGACATACAGAAAGAAAGACAGACAGACAGAAACAAAGACAGAAAGACAGACAGAAAGAACAAAGACAGAAACAGACAGAAAGAAAGACAGAAACACAGAAAGAAAGACAGAAACACAAAGAAAAAGAAAGAAAAAAAGACAAACACAGAAAAAAAGACAGAAAAACAGATAGACAGAAAGACAGACAGACAGACAGAAAGACAAACACAGAAAGAAAAAAGAGAGAAAGAAAAAAGACAAAGACAGACAGAAAGAAAGAAAGAAAAAAAGACAGACAGAAAGAAAGACAGACAGACAGACAGACAGACAGACAGACAGATAGACAGATAGATAGACAGACAGACAGACAGATAGACAGATAGATAGACAGACAGACAGACAGATAGACAGATAGATAGACAGACAGACAGACAGATAGACAGATAGATAGACAGACAGACAGACAGATAGACAGATAGATAGACAGACAGACAGACAGATAGACAGATAGATAGACAGACAGACAGACAGATAGACAGATAGATAGACAGACAGACAGACAGATAGACAGATAGATAGACAGACAGACAGACAGACAGACAGACAGAAAGACAGAAAGAAAGACAAACAGAAAGACAGACAGAAAGACAGACAGACAGACAGACAGACAGATAGTTTCGAAATTTGAAGCAAAAACAGAATGGTTTGACTTCAGTTTTGTGAAACTATAAATAAAAATATCTGCATGAAACAGCAAAGCTGAATGAGATGCAGATTCACTCTCTGCCAACAGGTGGCGCTTAAAGGGTTTCCTGGTTTCCGCTGTAAACAGCAGCGCTGAACTTACGAACTTTAATATGCTTTATACAGAGGCAAGAGGAAAAGAAAAAATACCATCTAAACTTTTCTAAAGACAGTAAGTTCCCTCAGACATGCATTCATATAAGCTCCTGCCCCTAAATGAATCGCGATTTGTTTAGCATCTCAACCGATTTGAATCGTCACATATTTGAATCGATTTTCAACCGGCTCGCAGTTAATCGTTACATCCCTACCCTACATACTCCATCCATTATGAGTGTGGATGGACAGATTTAATGTATGCATGCTACTTGTTCGACCCGTTCAGTTTTTATTTGAGCATTAAGCCACTTGAATATATGCAGTTGTAAAATAAATATTAATAATTTATTTAAAAAATAAAATAATCAGGGTGTGTACGCTCACATGAGTGGACTGTGCTGATGACGAAAACAGTCACATAGTAGCATGCAGACAAGAGAAGTATATTTTGGGCTTGACGTTCATAATTTTCTAAATATGAACAATCTTCTCATACGACACGCAAGAATCAAACTACGCTTCGCAACACTGACTCCAAACCTGGCTTGAAACTCGACATCTACAATGAGAGTAAAATCACTCACATATGCAACTAAATTTCCACAATATGCGACTAAATAATGTCTATCATTAGCCACTGGCTACTACATTGTTAGATTTCACAGTTGAGAACAAGCAGAAGAAGGTTGCTTCAGTAGTGGGCAGAACAATCTCATTGGCTCACCTTTTAATCGACTACGTTTAGATTTCAGCAAATCAGTTTGGGCGAATGCAGACAGTGTGATTAATATTCATTAACCCAGCAGCTCATTAGAGCTTAGCGTGTTTTATGTTGTTAGCATTAACTTATCTATATTATTGTTAGTTTTGTTTTACTAAAACACAGAATGACTAGGGCTGCACGATAAATCGAAATAGAATCGAGATTGCGATTCGACAGAAGCTGCGATTGTCACGCGTATCTTTCAGTGAAGCACGGTTCTGTGATCAGCAGTAAATCTCCATCCGAAGGCCAGAGGGCGCTCTCGTGCTGAAACTCCAAATACGCCTCGCAGAAGAAACCCAGAAAATGCCTATCGCTGCAGCTGAATAAACAGAAGATTCAACTGCTTTCATTGATTCAACGTGACTAATAAACACACGACTACTGCAATATACGGTTTATCGGAGTTCTTATTATGATCATTTTAATTAAAATAAAGTATATTTATAATGCAATGCCTTTATCACTGCTTAAATACTATGAAATATGTTGCGTGCCTTATTCTGTGTAAGAAGCCACATCATCTCACAGAAGGATTTATTTCAAACACTCGACTGACGTTATGAAGTGAGTTTGGAGTAAAAATGTTATTAAATGTGGTATTTTCACATGCTTTCAGATGGAGCAGCATTTACTTCAGAGCCGTAGTTCACTGAGAAGCTATGCAAACAGCTGTCATTATCGCGAACAATTTCTTTGATTTCAGAATGGCGCAATAAAATCGTCTGTGATTTTTTTGCGTAACTTGTCAGTGAACTACGGCTATGTGTAGTAAATGCTGCTCCATCTGAAAGCACGTGATGATGATTTCTTGCTGATTACAGAACCGGCTTTTTTAACAAAACGCGCATGACAATTGCATTCGATTAATCGTGCAGCCCTAAGAATGACCAATACGAAAAATTTAAAAAGAACAGCATTTATTCAAAATAGAAATCTTTTCTAACAATCTAAGCCTTTGCTATCACCTTTTATCAACTTAACACATCCTCCTAGCTGAATAAAAGTATTAATTTCTTTCAAAAAAAAGAAAGAACAATAATTTACGATGCCAAACTTCTGAACAGTAGTGTATATTGTTACAAAATATATTCTATTTTAAATAAATACTGTTCTTTTTAACTTTTTATTCATCGAAGTATCCTGAAAAAAGTATCACAAGTTCCAAAAAATATTAAGCGGCAACACTGATAATAAATCAGCATATTAAAAAGATTTCTGAAGGATCATGTGACACTGAAGACTGGAGCAATGATGCTGAAAATTCAGCTTTGACTCACAGAATTAATTATATTTTAAAGTATATTAAAATAGAAAACTGTTTTACATTGCAATAATATTTCACAATATTACTTTTTCTGTATTTTTGATTAAATAAATGTAGCCTTGATGAGCAGAATACATGTATATATGGCAAACTAACCTGTGATGCATGAAATTTATTCAAAACATCACCTTTTGTGTTCCCGGAAGAAAGTAATACAGGTTGGGAGTAAATTAACTTACAATTTTGGGTGGCCTAACCTTGTAAGAAATGGCAAAAGCTAGTTAAATCAACATTTGAGTGTGTAAGATACTGTTAGCGAGGCTCTCCTGCCGTCTGCAGGGCTTTATAGCCTGTGATGCAAATGTAAAACTTAGGCCAGGGTGTTTATTCCAGTAGGTTTGTGATCATAACGACAGTCAACGTGTATTGCTGGGAAGTTTATATCTCTTTTGACTGGAATGATTCAGTTTCTAGAGAGTGGGCAAGAATTACTTTTACGTTTTGATCTGGTCAGAGCATGAAATCTTACATTTTCACACGAGTTCCACTGATTTCTACACATGCTTTATCACGAAAAGCATTTTTTATTTTTTTTGCATGTTCACCTAAAACATTTTGGTAACTCCATATTCAAAGGTGTATCAGACAGTAATATAATCCAGATTATGATCTGTCCGGCCTCTCTAGAATATTCTAATTCTTTGGCAAAGGTGCTACAGTGCACTGCTCATTTCTAGACCAACTTAAAAGACAAGATTCAGTTAGGCATTAAAGTCTGTGAAATAAAACCAATCAAAAGACATAAAAGAAGAACAGTATGGAAATTGTTGCGAGAAGGCCTAAAACTTTGCTGTGACTACTACAGGAGTTACTCACTGAGAACATGGCTGGTGCTGGTGCTTACCCTGACTGAGAGGCCATGGCCTCAACCAATGAACCATTGCAAGAGGATTGAGAGAGAAAATTCCAGACAACTCGATGGTTCTTCCCAGCAATGGCTCCCTCTTGTTTAGTAGCGTCCACTTTGAGGCACAGTTTCTTGATCGGCAGCTTTCCCACTTCAGTCGTCGCTGCTGTATTTCCTGTGAGTTGAGATAAATCTGACTCAGGGAGGGGAGGTTACAGTCAGTCTGAGGAACAAACCACTGAACTGAACAGAGGAGACACAGCTACAACATACAGGTCAGGACTGAAGCATGATGATCTGTACCAAATCCTAGTAACCATTTGACCATCAAGTGAAAAAAAAAAACATATACCCAACTAAACAAAATGCTTGAATGTTTCACAGAGTCTACACTAACAACAAACTCATCCTTCTACATTTGATCAATATTATGTCCACGTGAAGTTACAAGTTACCTACACAAGTCCTTTTTCGCTGAGAGCAAACACCCCTCCGAGTGCTGTGGAGAATGGTGCAGTCCACCAGCGCCCTTATAAGGACTCCCCTCTGTGACGTTAAGAGTCGCAGCAGCCAATCAGCTGCTGTCTCTCAGTAAACGCATGCCCTCCCCCACTTGGGTCTGAGCCAACACCATCAACGTCAGTTTCCTTAAAGGGCCAGATGCAGTTTTTCTCTGAGTCCAGAGGGAAAGCACGTCAAAAACATTAGTAAACCCAGGAGGTGATGAGGCAATTAGATGCAATATGGGAATCACCAAAAAACAATTCTGACTAACCATTCTGTGTCGAGCTGCATAAACATAGCCACTATGTTAAAACTGTGTCTTTAGTTTGACCAACTAGCAGTTAGCCAAGTCTTAATCAGTCTTACTTTGCGAATTACACTAGTCTTGATCAGTCTTACCAGACTAACTTTTCAGTCTAAGCAATTTAGGCAACTGGCCCCATATGAAAATTAAGCATATCGCCCAACACTAACACCTAAATTTAACAACTACCTTATTAATTATTAATAAGGAGCAACTTAGGAGTTTGAGGCAAAAGTTGTAGTTAATGGTTTGTTAATAGCCAGAATTGGACCTTAAAATAAAGTGTGACACCAAACTTTTTATTTTGAAAATCACACACTGTTCATCTTCGGAACACAAATTAAGATATTTTTGATGCATTCCGAGAGCTCTCTGACCCTCCCATAGACAGCAAGGTAACTACCACGATCAAGGCTCAGAAACGTAGCAAGGACATCGGATTAAATAGTCCATGTGAAATCAGGGGTTCAACCGTAATTTTACGAAGCTACGAGAATACTTTTTGTGCACAAAGAAAACAACTATAACAATTTATTCAACAATTCTTCTCCCCGAGTTACCGTCTTCCACCATTTTGGGGAGTACCACAGAACATAATCAGCGTTGTTTACGTTCAGCATGCGCGCCTTTTCTACTAAACAATGCTGATCAAAAATATCTTAATTTGTGTTCTGAAGATGAACGGTCTTATGCGTTTGGAACGGCATGAGGGTGAGTAATTAATGACAGAATTTTTATTTTTGGGTGAACTAACCCTTTAATTCTTCACCCTGTTTTTAATTCAGTGCAATGAAACATCAAATAAAACATTTTAGGGGTTGTTCACACAGAATGCGTCTTTGCGTCAAAAAACGTGAGACGCTGTTCTCAGGAATGGTTTTTAAAAAAGCGCTGCACAGAATGTCTCCTTCCCAATGTTGCCGTCAAATAATACAGTTGCCATGCCAACTTGCTATTGTAAACAAAAAGCTCTTCATGCTTGCCCCGCCTCCGGGCTCTTCTGATTGGTCCACTGTTTTGGAACTGACATTGATGAGCGGCGCTGCATGTAAAAGTCGAAATTCTTTTAACTTAATACAACATTTTAAAAACACGGTGCTGGCGTGCGAGACACTGCAAAGGGCATGAGACGTGAGTGCTACAGCCGTCTAGCATGTTTACATAGAAAAACAATGGAAAAGTAGCGCATAAGAATGAGAAAACCCATTCTGTGTGAACAGCCCCTTACAGCCACATATTATATTTAATATTTATCGCCTATATCCTCCAGTTCTATATGATTGTCCTTTTTGGGTCATCGTGTTTTTTTAACTAAAACATTAACAAATGACACAGTGACTAATGAGTATTTTTGAGACATGTGAATTACTACAAACTACAGTCATTTAAATCAGAATTTGAATCTATTTAATGAATCAAGCTTATCAACACTGAACTTTCTTACATGTCACAATGGTTATATACACATGGTTTCTTAATTTTATACTGCTGGCATATTTTATACTATTTATCAATGTACAGCTAAAAGTACAGTCACATTTAAGGTTGTTCTGTAAATTTCCATAGACAGAATCCAGTCATTTCAATAGGAATCCATGTGATCAGTAATTTCACGTGAGGGTGAAAGATTTCCCAAGTAATTGGTGAACTGCTCATTATTACTAATCCAAGCTGCCGGGGTGGAAAGTGACTTCATACATTGCTACGATACTGAAAGAGGTAAACGGACCATTTTTGCTTGTCAATCTGAGCAATGAACAACATCCCAAATTACTTTAATAAGGTAATTCAAAACGCTTCAGACTTCCAACATCTCCAGCGAGGTTAAGAGGATCCTTAAGCTTTTAAACTAGGACATGCATGGTTCTGTAACATGCAAATAAAGTTTTAAGGGTATAAACAAATTGTCTGTTTTTTCATTTCCTTTGTTAAAATGCAAATATATCCAAGTAGCTGAGAGAACATTTTAGTCGTTGGAAAGCAATATTCCCTTAGCACTGGGAAATATTCTGCCCAAATTTTATGCAAACTTTCATTATGCCTGAAAAAGAGCTTGTCTCAAATTCAAAGCACAGAAAGACAATATAGCACATAGGTCAGATTGGACACTAATGTACTACTATGGATAACAAAACATTTTTAAGGCTGACTTTAAGACAACACTATTTGCACTGCAATAACATGAGAGTAAACCACACACGCACATGCACGCACGCTTGCATCTGTGCAATATTAACTTTAAAGAAGCCCTTTGCACTCAACTGTAAAAAAATAACACCATTTTTCAGAAAGTACCGACCGGCCCTTCCATATTTATTCCTTTCTACACTGTATTTGTGAATTGGTGTTAAGTGAACAGACGGCACAGGATATCTTGACTTTCTACGTGATGATATCTCTCAGGATTGTGTGCTCAGGGCGTGTGCCAGAGTCACGCACACAAGCAAGCAACCCAGAGCCTGGTGCATGTGCCGATTGTTTTAGGGTGCGTTCACACTTGTAGTTCGGTTCATTTGGTCCGGACCAAAAAGGAAAATGATACATTTGGTCGTGGTCCGCTTAGCGTTCACATTGACATTTTTGACAGCGAACCTAAAGACAGTGAACCTAAAGGCATAGTGATACGTTCACAACCTGATCGGTCGGCTTGAATGACGTATATATCGTGATGGAACTCATTGAACACCCCAAACAAAAGGTGTGTTAGACTTAAAGCGGCGCTGCTGGTGTATGATATCAAAGCACCCATTAACCGATCGGTTTAAGTCAAACACACCTAATGCCGTCTGCTGGACTAAGCGCGCTCATTCTTGCGTGTACATATAATTTTATTTTCACCACCAGCAAACTCACAAGGAACTCATAAAAGGCACTTTACCTCATTGTTGCTCCACGTTTGCCCTCTGCTCATTTTGTTTTGGTTACACCGCGACGTCAAATCATGTTGCATAGCGTCGCATCTTGTCATTACTTCCTGTTTTTGGTTCGTTTAGAAGTATTTGGTCCGTGTTGCATTCATATATCATTCGAACCACACCAGAGTTCGTTTGGAAGCGGACCGAGACCCCATCGCTTCAACGCACCAGGGTTCGGATGGCAGCGTTCACACTTACTCAAACGAACCGCACTAACAGAGCAATCGCACCAGGGTTCGTTTTAATCGAACCAAACATGACAAGTGTGAACGCACCCTTATAGTCGGTGTTTCTAAGGTACTTTGTGGATGGGAAAAACTGGGAAAACCTGGGGCAAAAAGGGGGGTGATTTTATAAACAACTAAATTTTCCAGAGCAAACTCACTCTAATTTTGATAGTAAACCTTATAACATGAAAGAAATCGGGGAAATATGTTAATTAAATGATAAACTGACAATGTTTGCCATGGTAAAATAATTAATTTTTCTCCAATTATACTGATCAATACAAATGTAATTTTCCAGTCTGAATTTGATGAAGAGAAAACAAAAACAGCGGACATCCTTCAGTTGCGTTGTTTTGTCCTCACGCGCAAGAACCAACACAACACCAGTCTAGTCGATTTTAAAGAGCGATGATTCATTTACACTAATGGTTTGAATCAGCTTGACGAATCCTTCACTAAATGAGTTCACTGAATCTACCTGAGCCAATTTTTGTGTACTGAAGGTGTACATAAAACTTTACTTAATGTAATTTCACGATGATTCAAAATTGACGTTCCTGCCAAACTATTTTCCTTGCAGAATGGGCGGGAAAAAAACGTCATTGGAAAATAAACAACTCATTACCAAATGTTCTGTACATTAAAACATTTTCTAAAAAGCCAATGCCTGGCAGTATACAGCATCTCAAAATGTCACTGATTTCACTAAAGTAAGATCACTTTTGGCTAAAAAAAATGTTCTAATTGCATAATTTCTTGGAGAGCAATGATGGAGGGTACAGGACAAACTCTGGTGTAAATAATGAAGACCATATCAATATTTCTCAGAAGCTGGTTAACACGTCTGAGGACTAAAAAAGTGCTGCTGAATGTTTTTCACTGGCTTTTCATAAACAGTTTAGCCAAGTGTGACACATAGGATTAGTGGTCGACCGATATTGGTTTTTTGACAGCCGATGCCGATATCTTGGAAAGCAGGGTGGCCAATGGCCGAAATAAAGCCGATAAATATTAATTAAAATAAATAAAATTATAAGAAATTTAAAAATAATTTGAAAATGGATTAAAAAATAAACATACTTATACTTTAGATGACAAAGTATTTTTTCACAAATAAATACATATTTAATAAAAAATATAATAAAAAAAACGAAGTAAACACTGTAACCAACAGGGCACTCAGTATTCTGGGAAGTTTGTGTGCATTGGGAATCATATTTTTTTTTAAATAAAGCTAAGGTAACACTCATTTTACATACAGCACACAGTGAAAATGACATTAATATGGCAGTGGGCAAATGAAAAAACACACGATCATGCAGGATACACATACATACTTCACAAGATCTCACAACTGGATCTGACTACGTTTGCAAGGTTTGTGAAACTAAATGTTCATTAGTCATTCAAAAATTTGTTTAAATGATATAAATGCGTATTTGCTGAATGCTGATGGCAAACGAGAACAAGAGGGAGAATGTTAGCACTGTGTGCTCAGGCGCTGCCGCTCTCAGTGCCGTCAAAATAAAAGTCCCGCCTCGAACACATCAGCCAAACAGAAAAACTTATTGGCCGATGCCGATATTTAAAAAATGCCAAATATCGGCCGATATATCGGTCGACCACTACATAGGATTCATCTTGTGATTGCCATTACATGAAATGTATGAAATTCTGTTTGACTTTTGCATGTTTTCATTTGCACTCCTGACACAGTTGCATAATTTGTCAACTTTAATAACATTTTTGGACAGCAGTCTATTCACTAAACGTAAACAAAATAGGATAATAGGATTACAGAATCAAGACGTTTCTATGAGTAAATAAGAAAAAATTACTTTGCTATGAGTTTATACAGTATGTTTTCAAGTAGAATGACCTCGTGTTAAAAGATCAAAGCAATTTTGATTTCTCAATGCTTGACCTCTATAACTGCAACTCAATCCTCTGGAAAACTTTCCATATTATATACACAGGAAACGTGCAGGCCTCAGGCCGTGCAACAAGAATGGTCAACTGTGTGTTGAAAAACAGGCTTTTACAGCTCCTTTTACAGACTGGGAATTTTCTGCAGTAAATTAATGCTTCCAGCTCTTCTGACCTCATCCAGGCCTGCTCAAGCTGCAAACAACAAACTAAAGTTGCTCTCAAAGAAAGAAAAGAACTTGTAGCACGGCCTGTTGGATCCCTGCACGCTGCAGAAGCTTTATAAACTGACAGTGACAAAACTTTGCCAAGTGGAAAATATCGAGATATAATTTTTTGTCAATATCGCACACCCCTAGTGTCAGCCACATTCTTTCTAGTCCTAAACGCAGGCAGAGGAAATGGTCAAGCCACGCAGCACAACTGAAACAGGAAGCCCTGCAGAGAGTCAAGAGCCATAACGGTATTTAAACACGGGCTGCGCTGAGCTCAACAATACACCTTTTGTCACAATGAACATGGTGGACTCTTCTGATGACGGTGTACGGGCAGGAGTCAGAGTCAGTGTGAGTGTGTTTAGTTTGGTTACATAAGCAGCACAAGGTCTGTCCCAGCTCATGATTTACATCTGTGCCGGGAGCCTGCAGGTCTGCACGAGTTAGCTGGGAAATTTCACAGCGAATTTAAGCAACGTTTGCGTAAAACTCTATTACTTCTGAAAGTGGAATTTCTCATTTTTAATCATGGTTTGCATAAAAAATGTGCTAACGTTTGGCAGTTTGGTCAAACAATGAATCAAGAAAAAGATGCTAAAAGCCATGGAGGATTTTAATACAACGTAAAGGCGACAGTTTTTCAGCAGCACTGGTTCCGGAAGATTTTTTTTTCCCCACATAGAAAAAAAAAACTTTGTTAAAGAGTTATAAGCCATGAATCAGGAGAATTACAACATCACAAACTTTTATCTAAATAAATAAAAGGTTTGAGATCGTGTACTAAACAGATTTAGTGAAAGAACTACAACCCCATGGAGCATTGCAAATGACAAACCATTTAAGAATGACAGATGGAGTATAACACTTAATTTATAGATGATTATGTATATAGAGCTGATTTATTATCAATGTTGGAAACAGTTGTGCTGCTTAATATATCTTTGGAACCTGTGATGCTTTTTTTTTTTCAGGATTCTTTGATGAATAAAATATTCTAAATAAAAATAGTTTGTTACAATCTACACTACCATTCAAAAGTTTGGGGTTAGTAAATTTTTTTCTTTCCTTTTTCGAAAGAATTTTTTTTTTTTCAGCAATGATGCGTTGAAATGATAAAAAGTGACAGGAAAGACTTATATTGTTAGAATAATTTTCTATTTTGAATAACAGTTTCCAAAAAAATAAAAAACGCAACACTGAAACAAAATCATGGGTAATGTAGTTTTCCACCAGGCAGGAACTCCACTGATAAACATGATTATTTGAAATTATGCAGACAAATAGCCTAAACAAAAGCATATACCACTGATTAACAACTTCATAGCTCACAGTAGGTCGGTCTTAAAAGCTTCCCAAGTTAGTGTTAAAAAATAAATTCTCCTACAGAAAAAATAAACAGAATTTTTACTTCCAGAACCTGACTGTTGGACTGTATGGAAGAGGAGGTTGAACCATTGCATTGTGGGATACAGTAGCCAGCACAGTACATTCTGTTCACTTCAGTCACACTGAAAAACAATAGGTCTTCTTTACTGTTATAACTCACAAAGCTATCTTGTGCATTTTATACTTGCATACAACTTGCCACTATCAACATGAAAATGTTTTAGCATGCTTTCACAAAATATCGTGTAGCACTGAAGTGGTGCTCTTCTCTACGAACAGCAAGATGCTGATGCACTCTTTGCATTGCCCTTCGGACTGAGAATACACACTCCCTAATCACTAAACAAACACTCTATGAAGTGCACTTTGCAGGGCAGCAGAGGAAACTGGAACGCACCACAAAGGCAGAAGCTAATCAGAGTATTTGCAGACTACACAGAGCATGTCTACTTTATACCACAGTAAGCAGTAATAGCAGCCTTGTTCCTGCTCTAGCTACTGACTTTAAAATGGCCTCCAAACATGGATAATGCAATAGATTTGCCCTTAAAAGTACATGGAGCACGCACTAAAGACGGTGTATTAAAAACACATGCAAAGAATAAATAAAAACACTGACAAGAGTCAAGAATTACTCATATCAAACATATCACAGCTAAACCACTCATTTTAATTGGTTAATCCCAAATAAAATGACTAGATACAACCAAATGTGCTTAGTATTCACAACAGTACCTAGTCGGAACCGAATCGAGGTGATCTTTTTCAAAGCTGTTCGACAAGCTGCTGTCTTTTGGCCCGTGTTTACATTTTGTCAAGTCGGTGACGCCAAAGCTAACGTTACTAAACATTGGTACGTCGTTTAAAGCACTAACGTCACAGTCCAAAAAATGTAAACAAGATACACTTCTGGAGTCAAAAGTTCACCAAATATAATAATAATAATAATTTAAAAACCCAGTAGAGCTACGGAACCGGTCAGCGAGGTGTGTTTCCTTGACTCTCCCATTAGCATTTAACGATGTGTAGATGGTGGTACAACTCCACGAATTGAATTTAAACGAAGTTAAACACGCTGAAATGACATAAAAGCCGATTTCTAGTAATAAACATGCCAAAAATGGCATTAAATAGGAACGCTAACGCTAACATCTGAGGGCGATAGATACAGGGAAACGTGTAATGCTACGTTTGCAATCACGAACTGGCCACGATTAATTCTGATCCAAAATTGATAATAAATAAATAACTAAAAGGATGTGTCCAGGAATGCTTCGATGTGTTACAGCTAGCATGTTAGCTAAACACTTTAACACACACGTAGAAAGAGGAACAACGCTAGCTCTGCTTCGTTAACAACTTGCTACAACTGATCTCCTGAATAACGCATCAAATGTTACTGTATGTGCGTGAGCGTGGATCTTTAAACTTATGTAATCGCCCGATTTATGGCCCACTTACCTCTTGGCTTCTTTTAGGCCCGAAGCATTCTAGCTATGAAAGCCTTTCCCTTTGTCTCAGTCCGCTTCCACTGATCTGCTGTCGCGTCCCAGTAACTGTGTCAGCCACCAACAAGAAACACGAAAACGCTCTAAAAGACACAGCTCGTTTAAGTGAGCCATACCGCCGAGGGTCGTCTGCTCGTCATGGTTGTGTCGGACTGATTTTTCCAGCAGATCACGATCATTTTTAGGAGATCGTCGCGTATCTGGCCGATTTCGGCTTCGTTAACTAACCTGGTCACGTGACGAGAGCGGGCTGCGTCTCAAATCCAGAGTGCAGACTACCTAGACAACATTTGTGGCCAGTCTCAAGACACCTCAGACTATTATTTGTACGATTTCAGTTTCTATTATGCGTCTTAAATACCTATTTTTATCTAAAGGCGTTTACTTTTAATTGTTGCTCATTGCTACTCCAAAATTGAACTTTTTTTTAAATAATTGAATAAATCACAGATTTTTTTTATTTATTTATCCAAATAATCTAATAACTAATTCGTTGGACTACGGTATAAACATATATATTCTTAATGTTTTTTAGGGCTGTCAATAAGTCTTTGTTTACATGATATGTGTACTGTGTATATTTATATGTATATATGAATACACACACATATTTACACATATATATATATATATTACATGTATTACTTAAATATATACATGTGTGTATTTATACATATAAATATACACCACACACACATATATATCATGTAAACAAAAAACTTATTTTGGATTTGACAGCCCTAATTTTAATAAAATTAATTATTTTGACATTATATTCGTGTAGCAGACTAAATATTTGTAAATGTATTTTTATCAAGCTATGTCTAACTATTAAGTCTGCAGTGCTGTGAGTTCAGAGTATTCTGATCATCCATTGTTTTTATTAAGGAACGTGCAAATTAAACATTTTCTGACTTTTTTATGAGACGTGCTGCAGTTTCAAGAGATTATTTAATATTGCTAATTTCGCATTTACATCATATCCCACAAAAGGTACATTTCTTTCTGTAAGAAATCAGTTTATTTCATGAGACCATCTTAAAACGAAGACCATGTTAATACACCTCAGCCTCTACGTCTGCCGCAATTCCTACATAATAGTCATTCTTTAAAAAAAAATGCATTTATGGTCAAAAAGATGCAAAAGAAACCAACTGAATGAATTAATAAATCATTGCAGTATTTGAACTTTTTTGCTCGAGACACCACTACACTCTGCCAAGGAGAGAAAACAAAGTTGTAAATAAGCAAATGTAACAGTGGATGTGTTTGATTTTCACATTCTACAACAAATGATGACAATATACATATATATCTCAATTTCTTTACATACACGACTTCCCACCCTACTCTCACTTATTCAATAGCAGTGTTCTTAGTACTGTCAATGTATATGACACGAGTTCTGTATATGACTCCGATTAATTGGACCCTCATTTCTTCTTTTTTCTCTTCTTTGGAGGCCCTTCATCAGAACTGCTTGCGGAATCGGAATCAGAGTCAGAACTGGAGGAAGACGAGGAGGAGGAAGGGCTGGAGCTGTCATCGCTGTCACTGCTACTGTCTTCAGACGAGGATGAGGAGCTCGAGGAACCGCTGCTGTCCGAGGAAGAGTCATTGGAAGAGCTGGACGAATCACTACTGCCGCTGCTGGAACTGGAGGAGGACCTAAAAGAGAACAGCATGTGCTAGAAGTGCTACTTTACACCACAGCGGCCCAAATCTGTGTTTGTTCCTCACGTGGCACAGATCAGTTGTTAAGTCGGCAGTGTGAACAAAAACAAAACACTGAAATCTCACATTTTCCACTTCTGATCTATAATATATCTGATACATAACTGTTTTGCAGGCCAGAGGTGTAATGGAAAAGTGCTATTAATTATGAATAAACATACTGATTGAATGATATGTGATTATTATGGTACAAGTAATCAATTATAACAACTGATAATAATAAAAATAAAAAAAAATCAGACATGAAACCCAACTCTAACTAGGGTTGCAAAAAGGTGAAAAATGTACAGTAAACTTCGGAAATATTCCAGACATTTTGGAATCTTTCCAGGATTTTTTGGAATATTCCAGGGATTTTTGGAAAGTTTCCGGAAATTTTCCACCCCTTTGCAACCCTAACTCTAACATTAGTTCAAAATATTATGCTACTAAACATTTCTTTGATTTTTGTAATTATACTTCTGAAGCATAGAGCTTAAACTTTGAAATCATTTTGAAATTGTCAAAAAAAATGATGAATTGAGTATGATCAAAGAATCTGACTCATTTATTGTTTTGGACATAAGTATACTAATATACTATAAACTTTATAGTTGTTCAAAACGCTTTTAAAAGAGCAACCTACAAGAGCAATTCAATTAAATTCACACCAGACCTGGCATGCAGCAAAAACATTAGTTTATTGGTTCTCTCAAAGTAATTATATAGATATAAAATTCTGAAATCTCACTTTGTAAAAGTGCATATTATGCATCAATCATGCATTAATCATAACATGGTTATACAGATAACACTGGCGTTCCCAAAAAGACAGTGACTCACCTTATTTTCTTAGTTTTTTTCTCACTGCGTGGTATTATTCCAGCTCTAAAAAAAAGTGTCAAGAAAGTACAGTTTAAATGTGACTGAGGCTTTCAGGTGTTTAACATGACTAATAATGTGAATCAAATCCAATACTAGTCTGCTACTAATTTGTGGTGCTGATTCCAAAACTAGTGCATGTTTTCCTCAAGCATGTCACACTTTCTCACAAACTATGATGCATTTTGTAGCATTTTTGCATTGTCTTGTACTGTCCTTGACATGATTGCTGTCTGAATCGGGGCCTATAGCTTTAATTCTCAGCTCATCTTCACACATTTGAATCATTCCTTTATGCCTAATCCTGATTTCGTGGCCAGAATTACAGCCAGTGACAGACGAAAACGCCAGATGTTTTCTGCTACATCCAGACAGCCACAGATTTTATGGAAAAAGCTTATATTATAAGCATATATTATACTGTGCATTTGTGGTCTGCTCTCTTGATTTAATTTACGATATAAACCATGAACAATTTTCTGGAATGCACTAAGAATCTTTTATTTTTCTCCCTAAATCCTCATGTCTCTTTCCAGGTTTGTTTTCACACAGATGCTGTAAAATTTAATTGTTACAAAATGAAGACATAGTACTAAAATGTTGTTCCGTAATATTGCTGCGGATAGGAGGATCTTTAGGAGTTATTCATGGTATGTTGAAAGTGATTTATTAATGCTTTTACACTTTTAAATTTCCTTTTAATGAACGATGGTTGAAGGGTGAGTAAAATAATGTCACCTCATTGTACCCAGTTTTTGAAAGTGCTTATTGCAGTCAGAGAGCGAACCTTTTGCTGATTGTTTACATTGTAAGCAGAAGTTACTCCCATAATTTGCGCAAAGTGTCATGGTGCGTAGAAAAAGGTGGATAATAATCAGTGTTGCCAAGTCCGCCGTTTTCCTGCAGAATTGGGCTACTTTAAAGGGGCGGTTGACTGTTTTTTTTCTAGGCTTAATTGTGTTTATGGGGTGCAGTCTAACATGTGTTAATGCTTCGTTTGTTAAAAAACGCATTATTTTTCACATAATTTACCTTAATTCCACACCGCTCTGTCCCTTCTCCTCTGAACGCGCTGATCATTTCCTGCTTTTATGAAGCCCCTCCCTCAGAAATACACGATGGGCTCTGATTGGTTAGCTGGCCCAGTGTGTTGTGATTGGCTAAACCGCCTCTAGTGCACGTCTAACCGCTGCTTTTGAACATTGATTTTGAATCTTGTGAATCCATTAGAATCGTTAGAAGACAGAACCGCGATTCATATATGAACAGATTTTTACGTGCACCTCTAGTTTTCTCTTCCTCTTCTCTAAAGCAGCGCAGCATGGCCCCGCCCCCTTTGCTGCGTGTTCCCGGAGGCGGGGTTTATGTAAAATTCTGGGTTCTTGACGTAACGGACCCGGGAAGTAACTCGTTGTAGTCCTTACCAGTCGTTTTTGTAGGCATTAAACTGCCAGAATTTTAAAAGACAATATCTCCGTTTGCATTGAACTTTCAGCTTCGTAACTTTGCAGATATTGTTTATGCTCAAACAGCAACATTACACACTAACTAACGTTAAAAAAGTGAAATCGCAATCAACCACCCCTTTAACACTGTTGCCGCGGGTTAGTTTTCATGTCAGCGGATCGAAGCGACTCCAATAATATGATATTTATCCCCAGGAATGCGAATTTTAGAAGGGGAACCATGCCAAAAAACGTGTATTCTCCCCCCTGGAACGCAATTTTTAACTGGGGACCCCCTCGAAACGCGATTGGGCTACTTTTGAGTAGCAATTGGGCGGGTTTTCTTGTGAAAACCTGGCAACCCCGATAATAATGCAGCGTACAGTTCTGCATTCTGCGCTTTCGCCTTTAGATGTCGCTGTAAAGAACGTAATTAAAACGCAACAAAAACGACACTATTAGAACTACACGAGATTACTTAAATTGAAATATTGGCAATATATACGCGAGTTATTATCGAAGGGTCTTGACTTGTAAATTAGCGACTCGTACATTCAGTATTGCTGCTCATGTGTGTGAATGTGTTGTGTTTTGTTGCGTTTCTCACCCCAGATCATCTGAAGGATTTTTCTCCTTGTCTTTTAGTCTCTTTTTCAACTCGGCTGTCCTGGAAGGTCTATAAAGGTACTTTCTTTTCCCACTGCACTCATAGGACCAGTGTCCATATTCCAGACATTTCTGACAGCGAACATGTTGTTTGTTTGCCTCCCTGTGGGAACAAAGAGAAGTCACATAGTAATTCGCCAGAAGAAGAAGAAGAAGAAAAAGATAAACACAACCGATAGCGTTTGCGAGAGTTTTGCTCGAACTAAACGACCTGAAACTTCATATTAAAACAAAATAACAAACCCAAATAGACGACTACAGGAATAATTAATACAATGAATACAATATAAATGTAATATAAAACTCTACCCCAAACTCAAATATTGTGAAAAATAACTCACGCTTGTCTTCGAGCGATCAACCTATGCATGGGAGTCGCCATTTTGAATGCGGTCGTGCGAGTCTGACTTCCGGTTCCGGAGTGCCATCTGAAGCTTCGGAGAGTCTTCATGTGTCTGTTTTTATTCCGTATCTATGAAGTTACACAAACGCTTCTTTTTCACTATAGCTGTGGTTTTCATACACATAATTATTATTATTTTTTTTACATTCAAAATTCAGAAAGTCAGAACAAATGGTTTCCAATTATATTGTGTCGTGTGTTATAGGCTAATTATTGTGTTATTATTTCGTAATTATAGTCGTACAATTTTATTATCCTCTGCAAATTTTTAATTTGAAACTGCTAAATGATGAGGATGATGATGTACACAGGTGTTATTGTAGTACGACTGAGATACTATAATCATTTTTGTTAATATTTAAAAATAGACATTTATATTTTCTGTTTTCACATTTTAATTTTAGTTAAAGTTTTAGTAATTTTATTGCGTTATGTCATAGTTTTTACTGTATATAGCTTTAGTTATTTTAAATGTTCAAATATTTTAAACTATTTTCAGAGAATGAGAAATACTAGCTGAAATAAAGTATAGCGTTATTTTATTTTAGTCAACGTTTATTTTATTTCAATAAAAATGTTTGGTTTGGGTTTTAGTTAACCCTGATGTAAACTCATCTTTTTTTATTATTATGAATTAACCAATGAAATAACAAATATAAATACATTATAACAGAACATTAAGAAATATAACAAAGAACAAAGATAACAGCCAGGGGAAAGAAAACGCAGTTATAACCTAAATAAAGCGTTACATAAAATGATAATAAATCATTAATATAAAAACACATATAATAATAATAATAATAATAAAACAGATAATAGAAAATCTAGAAAGCAAATGAATAAATAAATACAAAGTAATAATTTTAAAGGGGAATGCTGTATTTTCTGATATACAGAGCGTTTCAAACTATTGTTGCAACTCTCTAAAAAACATGTATACATCTCAATTTCAAAAAAATTGACTCTTATGGCGTAGTGTGACCCTTGTGGTGTAGGGTCACATATAGTAGATTTATAAGATAAAACATCCAAAATCAATCACAAACTTGCAAAAACTATTCCAAAATGCTTTCTTGTACTGATAATTTTTTTTTTTTTTAATTAATGCTCACACTTACCATTCCTCTGGATTATTGCCATGTGCTCTTCTTTCATAAACACTCTTCTTCGGCCGCTTGCTGAACACTTGTTTCTCCCGCGTTGAAAAGTTCAAAGCCATTTTTTAATTTTTTTTTTATTAATGTTCAAAAATCAAGAATAGTACACATAGAATAATACAACCATTAACATAAAAATAATAAACAATAATAACAAAAAATAGAGTAGAATTCTTGTACTGATATTTTTTATTTATTTATTTATTTTTATTGCAAGTATAAACACTTAACAATTAATGTAACATTGGATGACATTATGAATACAGAAATTATATAGGAAGACAAAGAAGAGAGAAAAAAAATAATAATAAAAAATAAACAAGAATACATAGATAAAACAAAAAATACAGAGGTAGTAAATCAAGAATTATGTACCATTCAGCAGATCATTATACAGTTTCACAAATTTGACACTTTTTTTGGTGTTAATATTTTTTAGTGTTATAATTAAGTAGTTAAAGTCACAAAGAAAATTATGTAATTTTGGAGATGTTGAAGAAAATTTACATTTATGAATATAATATTTTCCCAATAAAATAAACACATTTCCTATATATTCTATGTTATGTTCACAATGAAAAAAACAAACAAAATATATCACACATAGTTAAATCAATGTCTACATTGGATTTTGAAGAAAATAATTTTGACACGTCAGACCAAAATTCCTTAACAAGGGGGCATTTGAAAAAAAGATGATCAATAGACTCAATGCTGACATTACAGAAATTACAATTCAGATGAGGATTACCAAATTTGGATGTAATCTCATTTGTGGGGTATATATTATGCAAAATCTTTAAATGTAATTCTTTTACTTTGTTGGGGACACAGAATTTATAAGGTAAGAGCCATGCTTTTTTTCCAATTAATCTTATCTATTAAAGAATTCCAAAAAAAATTCCCCTCGGAGTTATTCTTTTCCTTGACTGAAACACATTTCTTATAATTTTATTATTACATTTTGGGTCATAAATGCACTTGTCATCAACCAAAAAATTTGGTTCCCTTTTTACAATCTCTTCAAATGATAGATGACATTTCATTAAGTGAACAAGACCATTAGGTATAGCTTTAACAATTGTAAGAAATTCCTTATGAACCACAGGGAAA